GAAGGTGTTCTAAAATAGACTGTGGTGATAGTCACCATACTGATGAATATACTAAAAGCCATTAGATTATACACTTTAAATGTGTGAATTATGGTACGTGAACTATACCTCAATAAAACTTCTTTTTGGAATGTTATATACCAATGTTCATAGTGACTTTTTTTTAATCATAGTTGAAAAGTGTAAGCAACTCAATGTCCATCAACTAAAGTATGGATAAACAAAAACTGATATATTTCTGCAACGAAATATTATGCAGCCATATAAAGAAAAGAGGCACTGGTAAGTGCTACAACATGGGAGAATCTACCTTAGAACCATGTTAAGTGAGCTGGGTGTGGTGGTATGCACCTGTAATCCCAGCAGCACAGGAGGCTGAGGCAGGAAGATCATGAATTCAAAGCCAACCTCAGCAAAAGCAAGATACTAAGCAATTCAGTGAGACCCTGTCTCTAAATAAAATACTAAATAGGGCTGGGGATGTGGCTCACTGGTCGAGTGTCCCTGCCTTCATTTCCTGGTACCAAACAAAACAAAACAAAACAAAAACATGCTGAGTGAAATGAACCAGACACCAAAACTACATATTGTGTGATTGATTCCATTTATGTGATATCCAGAATAAGCAAATCCATAGATATACACAGTTAATTAATCACTGCTAGGGAATAGAGGAAGGAAGGAATTGAGAGTGGCTACTAATAGGGTGTGGTTTTCTTTGGAGGGGATAATGAAAATTTTCTGGAATTAGATAGTGATGATGAATATGCAGTATTTTGAATATATGCAAGAAATGAATTTTTATGTGAATTTATGATTATTTTAAAAATTATCACCACAACAGGCTATTTAGAAGCAAATCTTTATTTAATGGTAATTGTGAAAAAAAGAGAACACATGGCCAGGTAGTCAGGAGAACCAAAGATCAGTTTTCTACAAGCACAGAAAGGAGTTTTAAGGATAGACAAGTTGAAATCACCCAGTTTCCCCATGTGTCAATTCCATTTTCATCAGATATCCTTTCCGTTATGATTTGGCTTCTCATGTAGATTTCCTTTTCTTTTTCTCCTTTGTTAACAGAAAGTTTGCTAACTAGAGTTTTCTGGTCTTCTTGGCAGTTACATTTTTCATGAAACAATAATAAATTAAATTGAAATTTTGGTGTATAAATGTTTTCTAGTTATTCTGTTACGGGGCCCTCCTGCTTCCTAATTTTAATCAGATGTGGAGGCTCCTGAAACTATTATTCATCAAGGATTCTGGGAGAAATTTTATTACCCAGGGAACTCCAGGTAGTGAGATGGACATGCAAACAGGTCTGGGCTGACTTGAGAGAGGCAGAAGTAGTCAGTTGGGCCTTTATAGTGTCTAGGGGGTGGGGATGGAGATTAATGTGTTTAAAATTTCTGCCTATTATAAAGGAAATGGCTGGCAGATTGGAAACTTGCCAGTTTAAATTTCCCACCTGCCTAAAAAATGGGTGGGTGAGTTGGAGACTTGAAGCTTTACATTTTCCACCTGCACAGAAGAAAATGTCAGGCATGTTGGACATCTGCCAGTTGGTGTTTGTTTTTTGTTTTTGGTACCAGGAATTGAACCCACTTAACTATCAAGCCACATCCCCAGCCCTTTTGATTGATTGATTGATTGATTTTTTTTATCTTGATACAAGTTCTTGCTAAGTTGTTTAGGCCTCACAAAGTTGCTGAGGCTGGCTTTGAACTTGAAATCACCCTGCCTCTGCTGGGGAGACATCTGCCAGTTTTAAACTTTCTGCTGGAAGTGCCAAAGGAGAACGCTCATGAGCTTTCTTATTAGCCTGCTTGGTTTTGAAACTTTTTCATGTTTGTAATTCTGGTTATTCTCTGTCATTTCCTGAAAAGCTTATTTTTAGGGCCAAAAGCAAATGGCTGTATAGATGAGAAAAAAAAAAAACAGCACAAATAGGAAACATTAGGATTCAGTGAATTTCTGGACTTGTGTATGCGTTAAAGACGGGCGGGACCCGGGTTCCATCCTCAGCACCACATAAAAAAATAAAGGCATTGGGTTGTGTCCATCTACACCTAAAAATATAAATATTAAAAAAGAATAAGCCACAGTTATATCTGAGTAACTCTTGAAAAGTGAAGCACTAGTGCCACAGGCCTCATGAGGAAAATTGGAAGAGGAAATATTCTTTACAGCTCAAAACCTGATGCTTTGAAAATGTGCCAGGCACGGTGGCACACTACTGTAATCCCAGCAACTTGGGAGTCTGAAGCAGGAGGAGCACAAACTCAAGGCTAGTCTCAGCAACTTAGCTAGACCATGTCTCAAACTAAAAAATAAAAATAAATAAAAAGGGCTAGGGATGCATTTCAGTGATAAAGTGCTCCAGTGTTCAATCCCTGCTGCCCAAAAGAACCAACCAAAAAGATGAAAAAACAAACAAAAAAGGGGGTGGGGGAGGGACAAAAAACAACAAGCAAAAAAGAAAAAAAAAGAGAGAAGGGAAAATGTGCAAGCAGTATTTTATCAAGTGTTTATCTGGTAAATATATTTTTTTCTTAACCTTCTGGTAATCATTATAGGCACCTTTATGACAGAATTAAGAATAACAGGGGCTGGGGATGTGGCTCAGTGGTAGGGCACTTGTCTCTAATGTGTAAGGCACTGGGTTCAATTCTCAGCACCACATGTAAATAAAAAAATAAATGTCCATCAACAACTAAAATGAATAAAATAGATAAAATTTTTTAAAAATAACAGAGTCAAGCAAAAACATATTTAAGACAAACTTGGTGAAATTTACCAATTAAATGACTTACATTTCTTTGGTAAAAGATGAGGGATGCACCAAGTACAGATTTTAAAACTGGTTCCTCTAGCAGTCACAACACTAGGAGGAATCAGAATTTGCATTTCCCTGTGATCAGAGACAATATGCAGCTCTAATTTTAGACTGCAATCGGAGGTTGAAGGGCAGGGCAGGTTCATTGGGGAGACTGACATCCCTGTTAGTTCCTCCCCTTGCCCAAGGTCCACAGCCTACAGCTCTTGGCTCCTGCACAGTTGCCTTCGAGGGTGTGTAAAGCGGTGCACATGTTTGCACCCGCCATCCAGGGACCGTTAGAAAAGGTACCCGGATGTGCAGAGGCGGAGCGGGTTCTACCCATGAGGCAGCGCGCTTCGTTATATGCTTTGCACTCGCTGGGGCGCTCATTGCGCGCTGAAAATCTCAGGGGCATCCGTTGTTGCTGTGGCGGTCGCCTAGTATTTTCGCGCTCCTCCCTTTCCTCCTCCTCTTTCTCCTCCTCCTCTGAGCCCCAGTCAGGCCGATCTGCACTGCTCTAGGTAAGCGGCCCCCGCCCCCGCCTGTGCCCTGAGGCAGCGGCTCTCTGGTGTGTCTGTGAGGGCAGCCGTGGCTGCCCAGCTCTGAGGGCAGCGGGCTGAGGGTCGAGATGCGGAGCGGGTATCCGGTATTGATTAGGTGGCGGGGGAGGGGATGGGCTTGGCGGCGCTACGGCGGGTGGGCCACCATTTTGCGTCGGCCTTAGAGGGGGAGGGATCTTGGAAAGATAGCTGCTCCGCGGCGAGGTTTGGCCGCCCAAGGCGGGTCGCGGTCTCGCGGGCAGCTGTCTACTGGAACAGGGCCGCGCGGGCCACAGTCGCCACCCCCTCACCACCAGAGGCCTGTGAGTTTCTCCATCCCCAGCTTGCTTTTGGCTTTTCTTTCTGGAGACAACTCCCTTTGGCCTTTTGTACGATTGATGCCAAGGTTTGGCGGAGACCCGCCCACCCCCCAGTCTGTTCAATGGTGGGAAATACTAGGGGGCATCTGAACTTTCAGGCATCAGGGCTCCTTCGTACTGCCTAGGATCTCCCTCCTCTCGACCCAGGTTACCAGTAATTCCAGGCTCACACCCTTGTTCTTGCCGGAGGGACTGCCTTTCCTCTGTCATAGAAATCGTGCTCCATCCCGTTATTGTCTAGAGGATACAGCCCGGAGGAGAAACGTGGAGTTACACGGTTTTCTAACAGTGAGCTGTGCAGGTTTTTCATAATGAGATGGAAAAAATTATCTCATTCCGAGGTTTTCTTCACAAACCTATAAAGAGGAGGGAGTTCCTATTAACTTAACTAAACTTTTTATGCTTTTTTAAGGAGAAATTTGAGGACATTGTCAAGTGAAGCAGTTTCTACAAGCATGGGAGACCTTCATCCATGGAATTTTCTTTGTTTGAAAATATTTGTTTTGTACATAGATTTTAATCTGAAAATAAATTCTTGGCTTTATTGTTTCAGGGTTTGGACTAGGAGTTTTTAGATCTTTTAGTGTCATTAAACATAAATTTAAAGCCTAGAAATGGGATTTTAAATTACAAAAATATCCTTTTAGCATTTGTGAGGTGTCCTGCTTTGGGGCTGCAGTGCAAATTGTGACTCAAGCAGAAACTACACTGAGCCTATGAAGGCAGGGTTTGCTTTATTTTATATATTTTTTATGTTTTGTGGTGCTGGGGATTGAACCCAGGGCCTTATGCATGCAAGGCAGACCTATCAAGCTGTATCCCCAGCCTGGCAGGGTTTGCTTATCAGTACAAATTCTATTAAAATTATATCATATTTGTATATTTCATTGAAGCCCTTTTTGAGGTGGGGTGTTGACGGAACTGTTGTTTTTTGGTTGGTTGGTTCTGGGTGTTTTGTTTTTGTTTTTGTGATACTAGGGGTTCAGCCCAAGGACATTGTACCACTGAGCTTCATCTCTGCCCCCCCCCTTTTTTTTGAGACAGGGTTTCTCTAAGTTGCCCAGGCTGTTCTTGAAATTGAGATCCTTCTGCCTCAGCCTTCTGAGTCACTAGGATTACAGGTGTGTGGTCACCACACCTGGCAATAGAACTATTAAAAAAATATTTTTTAGTTATACATGGATACAGTATCTTTATTTTGTTTATTTATTTTTTATGTGGTGCTGAGGATCAAACCAGTGCTTCCAGAGGGCTCTGCCACTGAGCCACACCCCAGCCCCAATAGAACTATTTTGAAGGTGAGAAAATAGCCTCAAGGAGAGGAATTGAGCAGGGTTATGTGGTTTGGAAGCAGAACTAATTCTTGAGCGGTGGTCTCTGACCCTCATCCAATGCTCAGTTCACTAAATTATGCCCTGCTCTATGGGAGTGGGGGGCGGGGTGGAGAGTAAGCGAGAAGGTTCACCTTAAAAATTCTACAAAATATTATTCAATTTCAATTCCCTTCTCCTTTATATTTTTAAGATGCCATGTTTTCAGCCTTTTAGTATTTCAATATTATTTCCAAACATGTTGAAAAATAACCTATTGAAAAAGTTCTGATATTGAAGAACTCCAAATCTCAGCTTTTTCTGTTTAATTTATTTCTTCCAGTTAAATTTTCTAGGCCAGTCTTGATTTTTCTGTCCAGCGTTTTACTCTGCACCATTGTCTTTTTTAGAAGGAAAGAGAAAGGTAAGACCAAGGGCTTTATAATTCCATACCCTCCTTCCCTCCCACTTGTTTTGTTTTCTTTTTTTCAGGAGGACATTTAGAACCATTCCAAGATTTTATGTGTGTGTGTGTGGTGCTGAGGAAACCAGAGCCTGTGCATGCTAGGCAAGCGCTATACCACTGAGCTACGACCCCAGCCCACCAAGAATTTTTTGTTGCTGTTATACTAATTGGGAAGAGGAAATCCTAAATCAAATAACATTTTTTGTAAATAGAAAGTATTCTATAGCTTTAAAAAGTGATAGATAGGATATTGAAAATTTATATTGAAAATATTTCACTACTCAAAAGTAACTTTTCAAAGACCAGAAATATTTATTGTTTATATTCACTAATTAGACATATAGCCCTGAATACTTTTTCTGTCTTCCTACTTTGGAGAAGAACTTAATATTTGGTTTTTAGTCAGGTTGTTTTAAGTAATGATTCATAAAGACTTGATTTTCTCAGTAATTTGAATAAAATGTGTCCAGACTTTTAAAAATTCATTCTCTGCAAAGTTGTTTTCTTTTAAAGAGTGTTTCACCTTCAGTATATCCATTCAAATAGTCATCACTATGTACCAATTGGGTTCAATGGACCATTATAATTTTATTTTTTATGCTTTTAGGTCATTTACTAATAATTGACATTTAAAAATGAAGGAATAATGAAAAAAACTTTTTAGATACTTAATAAGAATTTAGAGCCTGGTGCAGTGGTGGTGCATGCCTCTAATACCAGCTGCTCAGGAGGCTGAGGCAGGAGGATTGCAAGTTGAAAGCCAGCCTCAGCAAGTTAGTGAGGCCCTAAGTAACTCAACGAGACCCTAATATTTTGTCTCTAAAATAAAATATTAAAAAGGGCTGGGGATGTGACTCAATGGTTAAATGCCCCTGGGTTTAATCCCCAGTACCAAATAAAAAAGAATTTAGAAATACTTCTAGTTTTCTTTTAAGACAAGTGTTAAAGACATTGGCAAAAATGTAAATGCCATTTTTCTAACTATATTTTTTGTTTTAAAAATATTTTCATTAGGGGCTGGGTTGTGGCTCAGCAGTAGAGCACTAGCCTCACACATGTGAGACACTGGGTTTGATCCTCAGCATCGCATAAAATAAATAAACAAAGGTATTTGTCCATCTACAACTAAAACTTAAAAAGAAATATTTCATTAAAAGTATTTATATAAACTTACAGTAGACTTTTTATTAAATATCAGATATAATCTACATAAACATAATTATCTGTGACGGTATTTTCTTTCTTTTTTCTTTTGATAATTGGGAATTGAACCCAGAGAGCTTTTTTTAATTCTTTTTATTTTTTATTTTGAAACAAGGTCTTGCTAAATTGCTGAGGATCTTGTTAAGTTGCTTAGGCTATCCTCGAACTTGTGATTCTCCTGCCTCAGCCTTGAAAGAAGTGGTAGGATTATAAGCATGTACCACGTTGTCCAGCTGAATTTTAATTTTTTTAGTGCTTATACTCCACTTGTGCTATAACTTCAGATAAAAAATTATGAAGCAAAATAATTCTAAGTACTTTGCAAGAATTATCTCGTATGCTTTAAATTATTCATAGTTGTACTACAAGTAAGGTACTTCTGTTTTTCTTTTACAGATAGAGAAACTAGGTCTCAAAAAGTTAATTAAGCTTCCTAGATTTGGCAGCCATAAAGTGGTAGACCCAAAATTCCCATTGAGGTTTTTAAGCCCTGTGCTCAGTGCACTTAATTTACACTTTCCCTGTTATTTTTACTCCTATAAAATGTGAATTAATAATACATGCTTCATGTATTATTTTAGGAATTAGTGATTATAGAGTATGTTATTAAATTATGTAAAATATTTATTATATAGGTTGCTTTTGAGAGGCCAATAATAGTGCATCAGTCTTTTCCCCAGGTTATGTCTTTTACATGTGAATTGCTCCAAAATTACATTCCTGTAGCTATAGGCCTTAGCCAGAATATAATATAAACATTATTTTTCAGAAAGTAAATTTTATTATAGTGCTCTATCCCAAAAACTAATATAAAAGAAAATTTTTTAAAATATAGGCCAACTTCACAAAATATTATGCTAGTGAATTTTAAATTCTAGTTTAAACTAGCTATTTTCTTAAATAGACAAAGAATGAAAAATCAAGACAAAATTGAAAACACAAATAAATTAGGAAAAAACAGCAAAATTATTAAAGAAATACCTTCTCAAAATGTATCTGGAATAATTTGCTCAATATAAAAACTTCTTGAGAATATTTCCTTCTTGAATTGTATGTGATTTGTTCCCAAAACCTGGTTTGGAAGTTTGAATTGTTTAGATGCCAGTGAAATTCTCCAAGGAACCAAGGAATAAACAAATATGTCTTGGTTTTGAGTAATGTACTAGTTAATTACTATTATAAGAACATTTTTACAGGCACCCCATACTGAAAATGTTTAAAATAGTCCCAGAGTTTTTACACAACAATAAAACAAAATAAGCACTTGAAACAACAAAATCAATGATATTTCAATCAGTTTTTATGTATTGAATGAATAATATATTTTGCTAAAATAAAGTTACTGCCTATTTATATTGATTTTTTTTCATATCTATATCATGAAGATCAAGATTTTCCTATTTCAACCATTTCAATACCTTCATTTCTGTAGCTAAAGATAACTGTAATTTGCTCTTTTAGTGAAGATACAACATTTAGATATTCTGTCCCTTTGTTATTTTATTATTGCCATACCTATAAAAGTAATAGTACTTAGTGACAATGCAGTAGTAAATACAGATAAAAACATCAGTACTAATATTTTGTGGTCAGGCTTAGTTATAAGGTGGTCATCTGGATGATCCCAGGAAACGTTTATGTTAATTTTTTTAGATACACAGCAAAACAAAAACAATTATATTGTTAATAGAGTTCTTTTGTACCATCTGGAGTATATCTTTTCCCCAGCGATCTGTTGACCTTGGTTTAAAAAATGTTGGGATAAACAATTGGTGAATGTATTTTTTACTCTTGAATAAAAATGCTGAAATCTGGTTTGAAGTGAAATAAACTGAAAATGATTAGTTTTTTTCCTCTCTTAACTGAAACCCCTTAGTTGATAGTTTGCTTCCAATATGACTAGCTTCAGGTGTTTAAATGTTATTAGGACTTAAATGTCTCCATATCTTACCTCTTCGCTTTCTCTACCCCCAAATCTTACAGCTTTACTATTCTCTTTGTTGGCTTCTTAAGTACTCTTTCTGTGCAGAGTGACTCCAATACTCCTAGTCTTAACTGCTACTATCTTATTATTTTAAATACCCTTATTTAAATATAATTTATATGACATACAATTTGCCCATTTAAAGTGTACAACTCAGTGGTTTTCATACAAAGTTCTATAAGCATCACCACAATCAACTTTAGAACATTTTCATCACTCCAGAAAGAAACCCTGTACCAATTAGACCTTGGTAGCCACTACTCTACTCTGTCTCTGTGGATTTAACATTTCTGGACATTTCATTATAAATGAAATCATATAATATCTGGTTTGTTTGACTGGCTTTGTTCAGCTAGTCTAATGTTCTCAACATTCATACATATTGTATATGTGTCAATGTGTCATTCCTTTTTATTCCTAAATATTATTGCATTGTGTAGATGTATCACATTTTATCTATTTGTCAATCTAAGAGTGGTATTGTTTGGTCTTATATCTATGTGTTTAACTGTCTCCCATAGTAGCTGTACCAGTTCACATTTCTGCCAGCAGTGTATGAGAGTTCCAATTTTATTACATTCTTTTCAATGCTTGTCATTATCTATCTTTTGATTACAGCCATCCCAGTGAGTATGAGGTGATACCTCTTAATTTTTAAAATTTTTGAATTATGTTAGTCCATAATTTTAAAAAATTAAAAATATGGTTACATTTTACATGTATAAAAACCAAAGCAGCCTGTAATCCAAGTGACTCAGGAGGCTGAGACAGGAGGATCACAAGCTCAAAGCCAGCCTCAGCACAGTAGTGAGGCCCTGTCTCTAAATAAAACATAAAACGGGCTGGGGATGTAGCTCAGTAGTAAAGAGCCCCTGGGTTCAATCTCCAGTACAAAAAAAAAAAAAACTGAAGCAAAAACCAAAAACTAAATATTATAATTATACATAATACCCCCCAAAATGAATGGGTTGTGTTCAAGAGGTATGTCATTACTTGGAATTCATTTTCTCTCCATAAGAAAAATATATTAAACATGGGTATATTTATTTACCTGAATCAGTAGCTGAAATGGAAAGTTCTTTCCTCCTTTTTGAGAACTCTTAGTTGCAAATGTAGAGACCCTCTGGAGTTGCTATTATTGGAGCTCTAAGATCCCCCACTACATATTTTTTGCTGAAAATTCCATTTCTCTAACAGCTGACTTAATCCCCCATATTGTTTTTTGCCTTGCCACTACAACTCTAAAGTGATTACTTGAGAGGTTTTGATGGCCTCCAATTCTTCCCCAAAGGAATCTATGAATTTTTTTTGTTTATTTTTTTTAACTGGAACTAAATATGGCAGTGATCCTTTAGACTTGTGTTGTCTGATGGAAATGTTCTGTGGCTGCACTATCCAATACAGTAGCCACTAGTTAGCTGCTTGTGGCTTTTGAGCAATTGAAATGTGGCTAGAGTAATTAAAGAGCTGAATTTTTTATTTTAATTAATTGAAATTTAAGTAACCACATGTGCCTAGTGGTTACCTCATTGGATAACACAACTTTAAAATGAAGTTATGGTTCAAATAGCATCTGAGGATTTCTGACTTTTTAAAGTATTTATGAATGTACCAATTGAGGCTCCCTGGTGGCTGCTATGGGCCTCAAGACATCTCTGTAGCCACATGCAGTGCATATAACTTATTCATAAACACTGTTTACACATTTAGTATTCATTTTAGGGTATTTATATTAATACATATTTATGATAATTTAATAAAAAATATTATTTGAATCTTGCAGACTTGCACTTATGACCCTTAAAATACATGCTGTGTCCTTCTTTAATGTTAAGCAAGAATTGTCATATACTTATCTAATTGACTTAGGTATTATCTTAATTCTAGTTTAGAGACAAGAACTAATGAAATAGTTGAGTTAGAGACTAAATAGGCCTCAGAAGTAAGGAAATTTATTAAAGGACAAAATTCACTCAGAGTAGAAATTCAGACATTTATGCCAGTAACTTTTTCTGGAGTTAAAGTAATATCTTTTTCTTGGGATTTAGGCCAAGTAATTTGGAATTAGGGAAAGTATACTTTTGCAAATCTGAGGATAAAGACAAATGTAAAGACTGAATTAGCTCTGTTTATCTTGCTACTTTAGATTTCTGATGCCTAGTTTTGATCTTTTCTGTTTTGTAAATGAAAGCTTTTTTTTTTTTTAAAAAAAAGAATATTTTGTATGTAGAATATATGATATGTGTATGAGAATTCAGAATACAACTCAAAATAAAATTCTTACTTTAAATAAACCAAATGGTTTTGGTGTTTAATGTAATAGCTGTTTTAAAAATCCAAATAAGACTGGGGGTGTAGCTTAGTGGCAGAGTGCTTGCCTGGTATGTGTAAGGGCCTAGGTTTGATCCTCGGCACTGAAAACAAAAAAGCCCAAATAATTCTAGACAGATTGTAAACTTCTGAAAAAAAGGACTGTGACTTATTCATCTGTTTTTTTCCCTAGAACTATGACTCATTCTTCTTGGTTGTTTTCCCTTGAACTTAACACATTACACTGAGCACAGAAGGCAATGAGTAGTTTTATTAAATGAATTAATCTATGGTGAAATGTAGCCAACTAATTTTCTGTTATTTTCAGTAAGAATTAACAAGAAGTAAAAAAAATATATATAAAATGAAAACTTATTTAAATACGTGGGTTTTTTTAGTAACAATAGCATTTTCCCTGAAATGTGAAGAAGAGATAGCAGTTAAATATAAATGTCACTTAGCATTTCAAAATTCAGATTTACAAAACATATATTACAGCATAATTACTCATTTTTATATAAAGTTGTCTAAAATTTATTTGTAATTTAATAAAACATTCAGCATTTTATTCAATAAATTTACATTCATTCATGAATGAATCAATTATACAAAGTGAGTTACATGTGTATGTTAAACATAACCAAATTCTAAAGGTAAGCTTTTATGGGAGAAAAAGATTAGGTACGTGTACATTTAATTAAGCAAAATCCACTCTAATAGTAGGTCTCTATTTTTTAGGGTGAAAACTGAGACCTAACTTGCTACCTTGCCTGATGTCACATGAGTTTGCTGGAGATTGAAATTAGACCCAAAGATTTCTGAATCAAGTTTCATATTTCAGTATTTAGTGTTACTTAAAGTGACTCATAAAATTGATTGATGTCATGTGTTTGTTCTTAGGTGACTCTGCAACTTGATGGATGACGACAACTCTTTTCAACAAAAAAGTAAGTATTGCTGCTGCAGTTGATACTAGTATGCATGACTTTTGTATTGATAACCTTTCTTAAGGAGTAAAGTTGAGAGATAAGTGGGCATATTTTGTTAAAAATAAAAATAGTTAAATGTATTAAAGTAATACATATTAATAGTAAAAATGAATACTATGCAATAAAAATGAAAGTAAAGTAGAAATGAAATGTTTCCTCCTTATCCCCAGAGATAACTTACAGGTTTGGTGTACATAAACCACAAAAAATAAATTATAGACAAAAAATAAATTTCTAAATAAGATCATACCGTACTTGCTATTATGTAACTTCTAAACTTCTTAACAGTACATCTTGACTATATTGACAAGGGCAGCACCTAGTTAAAAAGAATGAGGAAAAACCTTTGTGTCCACATGGTATCACTATAATATCAATGAGTATATAAATGATTTTTTAAAATTATCAGTATATATGAGTCTCCCTCATTTCTTCACATTTGGTTTTGCCTGAGTTTACCAAGTTTCTTAGCCTGTAGATTAAGGGCTTGGTACATATCCAATAGACTACTGAATATTGGAGGAAGTGCAAAGGAACAAAATGTGTTCTTTAATCTGAAGGAGCTTATTTTAGTTGAACATGTACAATTACAACACATTTAAAAACAGTGAGAAATTTGAAATCATACATACTAAACCTTGAATTGCATGACATAGATCGTCGGTATAGTAAGAGGTGGAAGAAAAATAGGTCTAATGGGTTTATTGAGCAAATTATAATTGAACTGAAAGGGCAGGGGATTAATATTTTTTGAGTATCTTAGGTATTTCATGTGGCATTTTCCTGAATTTCTCTTAGCATTTTTTTAGATATTATAGGCATATTAGAAGTAAGGAGAAAGAGGCTCAAGCAGTTTCTCCAGATTCACATGACTAGAAGTAGTACAGTGAAGATTTATGTTATAGTGGTCACCTATTTTCTGGGGGATATGTTCCAAGACCCCCAGCTGATGCCTGAAGCCAAATTGTACCAAACCCTATAACTTAGTGCCTTTTCCATCTTTAAGCACTTACAATGCACTGTGGCTATAACTTTTGCATTTTGAGTTGCAACAGTGAAATTAGCACACATTTCTTTTTTCTTTTTCATAATTTCACAGATTGAAAATTTGTTCTTACCATAGATCTTTGCAAACTTGGTGTACCAATTTTTCTTTCATTGTTAAATCAATAAATTTCACTTGGAGCAATTTCCAGGTTATTTTTGGCATATCCAAATCACCAGCATTATTACTCATGTGCTTGGGGGCTATTATTAAGTAAAATAAGAGTTATTTGAACACAACTAGTGTGTTACCACTGATAACCAAGATTGCTACTAAGTAAGTATAGGCAGATAGTATATATAGTTGTAAATAAATTAAACAAAGGGATGATTCACATTCTAGAAAGAACAGCAGAAAAGTGCAAGAATTTATTATATTCCTTAGAACAGATTGCAATTTAAAACTTATGAATTGTTTATTTCTGGAATTTTCCATTAGTGTTTTCACACCATGGTTGACTACAGGTAACTGAAACTATGGAAAGTAAAATTGTGGATAAGAGGGAACTACTATGTTCAGTTTTATGTCAAGTACATGCTCTTTCCACTGTACTTGAATGATATGGACAGTATAATGTGAGGAGAATGCATATTCTAGGTAGATGAAATAGGAATGAGAGCTCCAAGGAACATAATGAGGGTGGTATTTTCAAATATTCAGAGTATATAAGTGCTAAACCATTAATTATGCTTTTAATTATTTAACTTAGAACATCGTATGTAATGTTTTGAGGTATCATTTAGAAAAGTAGGGGTCAGTTCATAATATTGATTATATTTGAGAAGATAGGATGGTGATTTTCTTTTAAGGGGGTAGATGAAATACTAAGCATTAAACAACTTTATGTTAAGAAATGATTTGTGGACTAAGGCCAAGCACAGTGGTGCATGCCTGTAATCTCAGCTATTCAAGAGGCTGAGGCAAGAGGATTACAAGTTTGAGGCCAGCCTCACCAACTTAGCCGAGACCTTGTCTCAAAAAATAAAAGGGACAGAGGATATAGCTTAGTGCTGAAGCACCCCTGGGTTCAATCCCTAGTACCACACACACACACAAAAAAAAGATTTGTGGGCTGGTGGTATAGCTCAATGGTAAGAGCAGTTGCTTTTTAACATGTTTAAAGCTCGGGGTTTTAGCCCAGTGACCACAGGAGAGAGAGTGAGAGAGCATGTGTGAAAGCATATGCACACAAGTACTTTGTGAAATACCTGAATTGAAGGGGAAATTAAAATAAAACAAAATTAAATTTAAAAAAAGATAGCACCAGTTTGTTAAGATTTTTTTTTTTGTGTGTGTGTGTTGCTATTCCCAAATCATTGCTTATAAATGACTTTTAAAGCATGACCTTAAAAGTCTTAATTTTGGAACAAAAGTTAAAATGACATCATTTTTAGTGTTATTTATTACCTTTATAAATTATGACATTTAAAAGATAAATATATCCGTGTATAAGCCAGACTCCTGAAGTTGTTTTATTTATTAGTTGTTTCCCCCATCCATTTCTCACTAAATCACATATATACATGCCCATTGTTATTATTTTAGTTTAGGTTTCCTTCAATACTTTTTAAGCCATAACAGTGAGAATTTCATGTTTCTTACACTTTAGCCCTCTCTCCAACCATTTCTCAGTTATATATAAATTTTTAGTTAAATCATATTCAGTATTTTTATTATGTTGACCATAATAAATATTGTTCACTGATGAGCATAGTACCATGGTATCAATATGTTTTGGATACATTTTCTTTTCTCTTTTTTTCATATCCTGCAATTAAATATTTTTAGCCTTTAAATTTTTGTTAAACTCTATAGCAAAGTCTTTCTGCACCCTTCCATAGCCTTTTAACTAGATTTTCTACATGGTAAAACTTGTCAGATAATCTAACAATTTAATATTTAATCTTTTTGCACAAAAGATTGTCAAACCTTCTTGAAATAATGTTCTGCTTTATTTACTGTGAGTGGTTGCTCAGTACTGAACAACTATTGTCCTGATTGTACCAGGATATGGCTCAATGGCAGAGCACTTGCCTAACCTGCTTAAGGCCCTGAGTTCTACCTCCAGAACTGAAAAACAAACAAAAAACTATTTTCCTAGGACTTTCCTTTATTTTTGTATTGTGTTGAATGTAATGTTTTTTGCATACTTCATTTTCCTTCTTCTTAAATCTCATATATTGGTGGATTCTTCCTGAAGAGGAGAGAATGGTAAATATTTTTTTTGATGTTGCTAGTCTTTATTCTTGATAAAAGAATATCTATCTCATGCTTGATGAAAAGATTAAGTTTAGAAAATTATTTTCCCATGATATTTAAAACCATTATTTTAACTTTATTCTCCTTCCACCCCAGTTTTAGGATATGCTTTTATTTCCATCATTCTGAAATTTCATAGGTCCCTCAGAGTATTTTTTCTTGATCTTTGTGCTGCTTGATGGTGGGCCCTTTATTCTTTAGAACTGGGAATTTTTCTTGTATTTTTCTTTGATTCCTTCCCCTCTCCTTTCTCTCTGTTCTTTCGGTGAAGTTTTTATTAGATGAATGTTGTACATTTGAAATTAATTTTATAACAATCTTGGCTTTTCTATTTAATGTATATGTATATTTTGTTTTCAGTTCCACATTTACTCAACTTTGGCATTTGGGTTTTTTGTAATGGATTTTGCTGTGTTATTTTTAATTTTTTCGTGGATTTTATTGTTTATTATATTTTTTCTAAAGATGCTAATTATATTCTCTTTACTGTTTTCTCCATTGTATTATCTCTATTTTCTTTAAGATCTTTTCATGTTGGGGCTGGGGATGTGGCTCAAGCGGTAGCGCGCTCGCCTGGCATGCGTGCGGCCCGGGTTCGATCCTCAGCACCACATACAAACAAAGATGAGTCTGCCGAGAATTAAAAAAATAAATATTAAAAAAAAAAGATCTTTTCATGTGGTTTGTTGCTTGGGTCTTTCACATAGTAGGTTTTCTTCACATTTCTGGTGCTCATTGGCAGTCCGTGTGTGTGTGTGTGTGTGTGTGTGTGTATTATTTGGTACTAGGGAGTAAATCCAGGGGTGTTTAACCACTGAGACACATCCACAGCCCTTTACTATATTTTATTTAGAAACAGGGTCTCACTTAGTTACTTAGCGCCTCGCTAAGTTGCCGAGGCTGGCCTTCAACTTGTGATCCTCCTGCCTCAGCCTCCTGATCATGCACCACCACTCCTAGCCCATAACCATATTTATGAGTGAACACTAAAATTCTTCCTAAGACCTCTGTGTGCTTAGTCAGAACTTACAGCCTGATGGTATTCACAGTATGTTATTTGCTTAATTTCTTCCAGTGAGAAATGTCTAATGTGTCTTAGTATGGAATAGACTTCATTTAATGTCCTTATTTTCAGTCTAGGGCCTTATCCCTGCTTTGTTCTGTGCTTAGTATTCATGAATCTGTATCAGTGTATTTCCTACCTATTGCTTCATATTTTTAGTTTATCTCCCTTTTGTTAATATAGGTGGATTTTTTTTCAGATAATGATTAGGTACAATCCTTTTGGTAGATATTATCGTATCCTAGTCATATAACAAACTCACTTTGGATTTGATTTTAAAATTTATTGGCTACTGTTCTCTATCATCTATTAACCTAGTCAAGTTTTTTTTTTTTACTAATTTAGATCTTACAGATTGAGTTCTGAGTTTTTTATTTTTGCTACCATGTACTAATTACAAATATCAATCTAATAATTGCTTTATATATATTAAAGTATATCTTACATAGCATGTTTTGTATTACAAAACCAAGTACTTTTCTTTTTGAAAATAAGAGTTGTTTCTCTCTGCTTGAAAATTAGATAATTCAAAAATGGCAGAACTCTTCATGGAATGTGAAGAAGAAGAGCTGGAACCATGGCAGAAGAAAGTAGAAGAAGCTCGGAATGAAGATGATGATGATGAGCTGATCTTTGTTGGAGAGATATCAAGTTCAAAACCAGCCATTTCAAGTAAGTATTTACTTCAGTGAAATTTCATATAATGTCTGTTGTTTCAAGTGGAAAAACCTTTGGTTGCGTTAATGTACTTGATTTACATGTTCTTTTATTGGAACTGGAGATGAGAAGAAGGGTAAAGGTTAGTAAGAACTTGTGATAATCCTGATGGGGATGTGGTTGGGATGGGAGTAAGGAGGTGAGAGGTTAAAATATCATATGTGAGAAAAAAAATAAATAATTAACTAAGGATTAAAATCACTTGACAACATTATAGGCCTTTTAAGATTAGAATTCCTACTATTTATGGAGACATTATAATTATTATAGTGGGATTCATTATTCACTAATATAATTTAGTCAGTTTTATTCACCAGCACACACCCCCACAGTACTCCTGGTACCCTTCCTCTACTTTGCTTGTCTCCCTCTATTTTCATGAGATTCCTCTCTTCCACCCCTGTTTTTTTTTTTTTCCTTTTTTTCTCTCTAGCTTCCACATATGAGAAGATATTTGACCCTTGGCTTTGAGTGTGGCTTATGTTGCTTAGCATAGTGCTGTCAAGCTTGGAGTGGGACTGTAGCTCAGTGACAGAGCACTTGCCTAGCATGTGTGAGGCACTGGGTTTGATCCTCAGCACCACATAAAAAAAAATAAAGTCATGATGGCCATCTACAACTATTAAAAAAATTTTTAAAAAGCTCTATCCATTTTCCTGAAAATGACATAATATTCTTTAATGGCCGAAAAAAATTTCTATAGTATATCCACTGTATCCATTCGATTGTTGTTGGATATCTAGATTGGTTTTGTAACTTGGCTTTTGTGAATTGTGCTGCTGCTATAAACATGAGTATGAATGTATTACTGTAGCATGCTGACTTTAATTTTTTGGATAAATATGAAGAGGTATAGCTGGGTCATTCCTATCACTAGGAGATTCCATTTCTCATCTTTTTAGGAACCTCGTACTGATTTTCATAATGGCTATACTAATTTACAATCACATAAGTGTCTTAAGTATTCTTTTCCCCACATCATTGCCAGCATTTGTTATTATTTGTATTCTTGGTGACTGCCATTCTAACTGGAGTGAGATAAAATTTTAGTGTAGTTTTGATTTGCATTCCCCTGATTGCTAGTGATATTGAACACTTTTTAATATATTTCTTGGCCATTTATGTTTATTCTTTTGAGAAGTGTCTGTTTAGTTTATTTGCCCCATTTATTGATTGGGTTATTTGTGGACTCTTTGGAGGTAATTTTTTGAGTTATTTATATATTCTGGATATTAATTCTATGTCAGAAGAGTAGCTGGCAAAGATTTTCTCCCATTCTATAGGATCTCTCTTCATTCTCTTTAAGTGGGAAATGCTAATTATTAATGGAGCCAAGTAGTCTGGATTTTTTCTTTTTCTCCCTTCAGCCCAGATGTACAGAAAATGAAGTATTTGGAATGCTTTGCTTAAAATATCAAAATATACTGAATAAGTTTGTGTTAGTGTGTTATAGTGATTCTCACATATAGGCAACTGACTCATCAAAGTATCATCTTGATTCATGGCTATAAAATGTATAGGCACTGCAAGATTATACAGTCTCTGTTCTGTGTGCCTACATGTGTTATGTGTACCTTCTGGCTACACCCATCTTACAGCAAGTCAATTGTAGACGACTATTAATAGCACTGAACTAGAATAGTGTCTCTTCATTTTAAATGATTCTAACAAAAAAGGAATTGGACAACAGTGGAATTTCTTTTCTAAATTATTAACTCAGAATTTAAATGTAAATAAGTTTATTGGTGTTTTATGTATAAATCATAAAATACTTTTAGCAAATGGAGTATGAACCTAAATGTTTATGTAGAAGTACCATAAAGTGCAGGAGGGAAGGTACTAAAAGTTTGTGTTCAGTAGACTCCCAACAGAAAAAGTAGAGATAACTCTTTTAAGGGAGTGGATACTGGGAATTTACCCCATGGTAAGTTTGCCACTAAGCTGCATACACAGCCCTTTTTATTTTTTATTTTGAGGCAGAATCTCACTGAGTTGCTGAGACTGGCCTTAAACTTGCAATACTCCTGTCTTAGCCCCCCAAGCCTCTGGGATTACAGGCATGTGCTACTGGGCCAGCAGGAATAACTCTTTAATGATTTGAGTAAATACTTATCTTGAAATTTCTGAATGAAAACAATACCAAGTTTTTTGAATCAACAAAGAAATCTATTTTCCTGGGAAAGTTCTATAGTGATCAGAAAATAACCCTTTGTGTGACACTTTACTTTGTATAATTATTTTGTGAGATTAGTTATTTTCTTTTTTGAATGAATATTTTTACTATTCTATTGAACAGTCTTTAATCCTTATAACAAGGGCCTGCAGTTTACAGCCTGCCAGCCAAATCTAACCTGCCTCCTACATTTTTTTTTTGTTCTTTTTAGTTATAGATTTGGTTCTTTTCTACTAGGAGATGAAAAAGGAAAATTTCCTATTCACATGGGTGCAGTGGCACATGCCTGTAATCCCACTGACTATAGGCTTTGGCAGGAGGATTGCAAATTCAAGGCTAGACTCAACAGTTTAGCAAGTTTAGCAAGTGTTTAGCAAGGCCCTAAGCAACTTATTGAGACACTGTCTCAAAAAGTTAAAAAAAAAATTAAAAGGGCTGGGGCAGTAGCTCACTGGTCAAACACCCTTGGGTTCAATCCCCAGTACCAAAAAGAATTCTTATTTAGAACTCAAGAGTAATGGTACTGTATATACCTATAATATCAGTGACTCAGGAGGCTGATGCTGGAGTATCACAAGTTCTAGGCCAGCCTAAGCAATAGCGAGGTCCTAAGCAACTTAGTGAGACCCTTCTCAAAATATGAAATAAAAAGGGATGAGGATGTGGCTCATTGGTTAAGCAGCCCTAGGTTCAATCCCTGGTACCAAAACAAAAAAGAGTAATAGTACTGAGTAATCAAGAGCTGAGTAATCCAATCAGCTCACCCCTAATGAAACTTATAGGCATTTAGCAAAGTAAACGTGGCATAGAGATTGAGGAAGGTCTTGTATTTAGTCACAATCTTGTCACCATTAAGGGAAAGAAATATATTTCTGTTATTGGTTACATATGGATATACTTTTGGAAAAATTTTATTACTTTTATTTCATTAAAATAATGAATTTTAAAATAAATATTATTTTTATAGATATTTTGAACAGAGGTAATTCCAGCTCATCTTCAAAGGGAATGAAAAATGACTCACTCAGTTCAGGTACAGTATTAATGTACTATTTTAACATTAAAGTAAAGTAATTTGACAGAATTGATTATGTAGAAATATATTCAATCTATGGTATAATTTTACATATAGGTATTCCTGGTTTATTCAAGTCTACAAGTCAACACTACAAAGACCCAGCATCAAATCCAGTGACTGCCTTGCCTAGATTTCATCCTGAATCTAAATCTTCACAGAGCTCTGCTATTGTTCAGAATACATCTAAACCTGTAAGTATTTCTGAAAATGCACAATTGGTTCAGAGACATACTAGATACCAAGTTAAAATTATGAACTCTCATAGCTAGTTACCATTCCATTATAAGTATAATTGCCTCAGAAAATGTCACCACTTTTATGATATACTTCAACTAATACCCAGAATAATAACTACAAAACTAATTATCTACCATGTTAATAAATCAGGTAGCTTAAATAGGTATAGTATTGAAAACTATGCAATCTAAATATGAGTTAAAAAGTATAATTAGTAATGAATATTGTATTGTGGCAATTTTACTTAATTTTTTATTGTAGTTGGACACAGTACCTTTATTTTATTGATTTATTTTTATGTGGTGCTGAGGATTGAACCCAGTGCTTCCATTATGCTACATCTGAGCCACAACCCCAACCCCTTTATTTTAATTTTTTAAAAAATATTATTTCTCTGGGCACAGTGGCACATGCCTGTGATCCCAGCGGTTGAGGAGGCTGAGACAGGAGAATCACGAGTTCAAAGCCAGCCTCAGCAACTTCGAGGTGCTAAGCAACTTAGTGTGACCCTGTCTCTAAATAAAATACAAAATAGGGCTAAGAATGTGGCTTAGGAGTCAAGTACCCCTGAGTTCAATCCTCGGTACCAAAAAATATATTATTTCATTGATACATAGTTGTACATATTTGGGAGGTATGTGATATTTCAGTACATGCATACAACATGAAGTGATCAAATAAGAACAATTAACATCCATCTCCTTCAACGTTAATCCTTTGTCTGTGTAAGAAGCATTTAAATTCTTTCTTCTAGCTATTTTAAAATGTACAGTGAAATATTTAATAGTCATTTTACTGTACTATAAACACCACTAATTGTGTTTTTTTAAAGGCGTGTATATGTCTTTTTTTTAAAGAGAGAGAGAGAGATAGAGAGAGAGAGAGAGAGAGAGAGAGAGAGAGGGAGAGAAAATGAATCTTTTTTGTAGATGGACACAACCCAATGCCTTTATTTTATTTTATTTTTTTATGAGGTGCTGAGAATCAAACCCAGGTCCCGCCCGTGCTAGGCAAGCGCTCTAGTGCTGAGCCACAATCCCGGCCCCTAATTGTGTTTTTATACCAATCTCTGACTATTCCCTCTCCCCACTACCCTTCCCAGCCTCTAATGTTGCTTATTCTTCTACTTCGGTGAAATCAACTTAAGATCATAAACAGATATTCTTAACTGAGAAAATTATTCCGAAGATTTTTATTCTGAACATACTTTCATTTTTCAGTTTTTTAAACTTAACATAATAGGTAAAGTAATACCATTTAGGGGTCTGTTAATTTATATATATATTTATATATTCTTTCTTAGAACATTCCTATGAGGTAGGCACTATTGTCCCATTTTATGATTGAGGAAAGAGGCACAGAGAGGCTAACTGATCCACTCAAGGCCACAGAGCTAGATATGGGATTTTGATCCAAGTTAACACTGAGTTTTAAAAATGTGCCTATTCACAAATCTGTATGTATATTTAAGTATATTCTTTTAAAAATGAAAACATTGCTTAAGGCAATGGTGATGTGCACAGAACCTTGAGGTTTCTGAGACTCTTTAAAGTGTCCAGGAGGTTAAAGCTATTGTCATGACTCTAAGAAACCTGCCTTTTTTACTGTGTTGACATTGTAAAATTCTCCAGGTGATTATATTGTACAGCCAGGGTTAAGAATGATAGATTCAGCTGGGCATGGTAGTACACACCGTAAGCCCAGTGATTCAGGAGGCTGAGACAAAAGGAATGTGAGTTGAAGACCAGCCTCAGCAACTTGGTGAGCCCATAAGCAACTTAGTGAGATCCTTTTCTCAAAAAAAAAAAAAAAGTGGCTGGGGACATGGCTCAATGGTTAAGTACCCTGGGGTTCAATCCCTGGTGCAGAGAGAGAAAGAAAGAAAATGATAGATACATATTCTCAAATAAATTGAGAATCCTATTAAGAGTTTTATTTAATTTTTTGAACTATTTTATTCTCTCTGCCCCAACAATGAGGCAGGGAGAGAGATTAGAATCACTTTTAAAGTCAGTGCACTATAGCTTATGGGCAAAGTCTTTGCATTTTGGCAGACCTGGATTCTAATTCCACCTACTGCATCAGCAATAAACTGAGTTGTACTGAGAACCTTATTTAACTGCACTAAGCCTGAGCTTACCTATTTATAAAACAGGAGATTATATAAGGTCTTTATTAATATTATTGTAACAACTACTTAGTATAATACATGTACTACGAGTAAAGCAAGTACAACTGGGCATGGTGGTGCACACCTGTAATCCCAGCAATTTGGGAGGTTTAGGCATGCCTGTAATCCCTGCAAACTTAATGGGATCCTGTCTCAAAATAAAAAGGGCTGGGGGATGTAGCACACTAGTACAGTGCCTCTGGGTTCAAACCCCAGTACTGCCAAAAATGAAAAATAAAAATAAGAAAGAAAAGGAAAGAAAAAAGGCAAATGCATTTTAAATTATTGGTGGCTATTATTTCTGTTGAAAAGATAAATGACTTGAAACTCAGAAGTGAATTTTCCAAAGTTATATAGTTTAAGTAAATAGACAGGTCTTCTAAATCCCAGTATATCACCTCTTCTGGTACCTTTTTGAATCATTATGAGACATAAGAAATTTCTAATTGGAGAATTATTTTAACAAGTTATAAGTGCAACTATTTAGAGAAAATACCTTTCAGTAAGATTGTGCTTGATTACAATTAAGTATAACCATTATTGTTTTTCTACAATAAATATAAAGGCTTATGCAGAAATCTGCCTGTTATGCCTCAAATTCTAGAGATGGAATGGTTTGGGTCACTTAATATTTATCTTCTTAACAAACTAACATCATTAGAAAACAGTAGCAAAGTAAAATTCTTACAATCTACTGAACTCAACTTCTAAGCCCAAAACAAGCAAGCAAAATCTTTATATTCCCGTTACAAAAGTAATGTATATGGGAGGGGTTAGAAAACAAAGAAGACTTTTGTTCTGGTACATGGTTAGTGTGGTATATAGAGTATAATAACCAGGGCCATATTAATATTGGTTTGATAACCTATTCCTCATTTTTCATTGAACACTGTATTGAGAACATATTTCTTTGTCAAAAGAAAAAGATATTTCTCAAAAGCATGATGGTGAATGATAGTCTATCATTTAATTTATTTAACCATTCTCCATTACCAGATATGAGCTTTTATTTCTTACTCTTCTAAATAATTCTCCATTAAATTCATTTGCATATCACAAATTCTTAGAAGTGGAATAATTGGATTAAAGGATATGAACTTATGAAAGCCCTTGAAAGATACTGCTAAAATTTTCTTAGAGAAAAGTTGTACCAAGCCGGGCGTGGTGGCACACGCCTGTAATCCCATCAACTTGGGAGGCAGAGGCAGGAGGATTGTAAGTTCAAAGCCAGCCTTAGCAAAAGCAAGGCACTAAGCAACTCAGTGAGACCCTGTCTCTAAATAAAAATACCAAATAGGGCTGGGGATGTTGCTCAATGGTTGAGTGTCCCCGAGTTCAATCCCCAGTACCAAAAAGAAAAAAAGAAAATTTATTTATTGTCTCTTAGAATAATTTAAAAACAAACATAGAATATAAGGGAAAGAAAGAAAAGTTATACCAAAATATAACCTCCATTTTGGGCTGAGGTCGTGGTTTAGCGGTAGAGCGCTCACCTAGCACATGGAAGGCTCTGGGTTAGATCCTCAGCACCACGTAAATAAATAAAATAAAGGTATTGTGTCCAACTACAACTAAAAATATAACCTCCACTTTGCCAATAATATTATTAATTTTAAATTTCAACTTTTAGTTTCAAGCTAATTTTAAATTTCCAGAAAAATTACAAAAATAATGCAAGGAGTTCCCATATATCCTTACCCAATAGGGGTTAATTTTGGCAGAAACTAGTAATTACCTTTTTGTTTTATAGTTTATAGTAATTTAATCAATAAGGTTTTCTTCATTATGTTGGCACACAATTAATTTTGCCATTATAAAAACTTATGAAACAAAATTTTAACTATAACTTTTTACAGGATTTTTCAAAGAATTCATCACAAGTTGAATCAGATGATTCTTCAGTCTTATTGTTTGGCTCGACCCAGGATACAACACCACTGTCCCCAGGTATACTGAAAAATTTTTGGAAGGTTTGGTTTAGCACTTTTTAATAAAAATTACAGAAGGAGGCATGATGAATATACATAGGGAATTAAATTCTATCTTGAAGTCCATACATTTTGTTAATTTTTTGTGTGTATTATAAGAATAGAGCTAATCATTTCTTCTTTTTTCTTTTTTTTTTTTTTGGTTTGTACTGGGGATCAAACCCAGAAGTACTTAACCATTAATCCACATTTCCAGTCCTTTTTTTATTTTGAGACACAGTCTCAAGTAAGTTGCTTAAGGCCTCATTAAATTGTGTGAGGCTGGTCTTGAATTTGTGATCTTCCTGCCTCAGCCTGTTGAGTCACTGAGATTACAAGTGTTTGCTACCACATCTGGCTAGAGCTAATCATTTCTGAATTCCTTTCTTGGGTGATTTTATGTAAAACCATATTTAATAATGGAATTTTTTTCTATTAAGTTTGCTAGCATGTATTCTTTGAACATATTCTCACATGGAACCAGCAACGGGTTTAAAAACCTTGGTACAATTTCTGTGAGTTCAAGAAGTCCTCTAATGCTCTAAATATTTTTAAAAATAAAGTATTGATTATTTGCAAGTCTATTAGTATGAGAACAAATGTATGGTTATAGTTGATTCCTTACTAGACTAGTATCTTTCTGTTCAAATGAATGATGTGTAGATATTGTAGTTAAATATCATTATAGAGTAGTACTATAAAGTGACAGAACTAAAGAAGTAGTGATTTGCACATGATAAATACTCAGTACATACCCATTGAAGGAATAGTAAAATTTTCTAATTGAATAATAATTACAGTTCTTTGTCTGCCATAATGAAGTTCTTCATTAACCAAAATAAATTATGTGCCAGTGAAGGAATTTTATCTAGCTGAAAACTTCTCTATAATCAGAGAAATTACTATTTCTGTATTAGCTAAATTGATATATTTCATTAAATGGAGAAAGTGATAATTTTTTTTCAGTACTGGTGATTAAATTCAGGGGCATTCTACTACTGAGCTATATCCCCAGCCCTTTTATTTTTTATTTTGAGACAGTTTCATTAAAATGCTTAGCCTGGCCTCCAACTTGGGATACTCAGCCTAAGCCTCCTACTGAGTAGCTGGGATTATAGGCCTGAGCCACCCTACCCAGCTCACAAAAAATTTTTTTATGTTAAAATTTTTTACTAACAAATTAGTATACAACATTTATCAAACCCAAACTAAAAAGTTATAGTAATATTAGTGCCCAAAGTATTTTCCCATTTTTTTAATACTTGTTTGATGTTCACCTGTCTAGGTATCTAGTTAAATACCCATGAACCAAAATAAATAGGGAGATAAAATAGTTGTCTTAAATCTGAATTTACAAAGCCCATTGTTTATTTATCAGAATAAGTCTGAATTTCTAAAATTTCTAGTGGTTAAAGACAGTGACTTCTAGCTGGGTACAGTGACTCATGCCTGTAATCCCAGCAGCTCAGGAGGCTGAGGCAGGAAGATAGCAAGTTCAAGACCAGCCTTAGAAATTAAAAAAAAAAAAAAAATGACCAGCCTCAGCAACTTTATCAAGGCCCTAAGAAACTTAGCAAGACCCTGTCTCAAATAAGAAATGAAAAGGGCTGGGGATGTGGCTCAGTGCTTAAGTGTCCCTGGGATCAATCTCCAGTATCGCGCCCCCCACACACAAAAAGACAGTGACTCCTATTCTTACTTTAAAAGTTATTATATTGCAGAGAGTGGAACTTTGCCCTGAATGATAAACACTGTTATAGTTGGCTAGGAAGATATATATATATATTTAAGCCTCTTTTCTTTTTTTTTTTTAAAGAGAGAGTGAGAGAGAGAGAGAATTTTTTAATATTTATTTTTTAGTTCTCGGCGGACACAACATCTTTGTTTGTATATGGTGCTAAGGATCGAACCCGGGCTGCACGCATGCCAGGCGAGCGTGCTACTGCTTGAGCCACATCCCCAGCCCTAAGCCTCTTTTCTAATGATTTTTGTTGCCTTTATCAGGTCACCTAAGCTCTTTACACTTCAGTTTTCTCACATTAAAATAGATACTTTTACTTTTCTCACATAATGCATTCATTCTCTAGATCTGAAATGAGCCATTTGGAGATAAAATTGCTTATCTCATGGCTTTGTTTGAGGCCCACATAAGTGATAAGTGAAAACTGCATCATAAGTTTTTAAATACTTAAACTGTTTTTTTGTAGTGATAATTATGAATGGTTGTATGTGGTATTTGTTTGGAAGCATGATTATTGAGCTTGTGTCCAATATGATCATAGAAGGTTCTTAGAGAAAATTGGATATGAACTTGATTTTGTTTTGTTTTGTTTTTGTGGTACTGGGTGGAGATTCTCTGTGCTTTTATTTTTCTTTCTTTTGGCTTGGAATTTTTGGGCCTGACTCCTTTCATGATAACCTGTTTAAATATTTCTTTTGAAAGTATCTTTAGAATTTTCCTGCATAAAGTTTATTTCATGAATTTGCTAAATATATATAGTCCATAAAAGCTGTTTATACAGGGCTGGAGCTGTTGCTCAGTTGGTAGAGTGCTTGCCTTGCATGCACAAGGCCCTGGATTCAATCCCCAGCACCAAAAAAAAAAAAAAAAAAAAAGTTGTTTGTTTAGTTTTTACCTTTTTTTTATATAAATTATCAGCATGTTTTTTTTTTTTTTTTGGTCATTTGTATAACACAGTAATTCAATTATATTACCTTTAGCCCCAAGGTAATTTTTATGTGATTTTAAACATAAGGCTATTTTAGTAGTAATGTTATGTAATAGTCTATACTAAAGTATTTATAAATATCTTTCCCACTATTTAAATCTTTGTAGACATGGATCAATCTTCCTTTGGATTAAAACGTCCTTCTACTTCTAAAGTAAACAGTGTTAATCCAAAAAAGCCAAAAGCCAGCAAAAGTGTTTCTGAAATAAATCCCTCATCTTCATTGTCTTTAAATAACTCCCCTTCAGAGGCATCTTCCCAGGTTATGGTATCAACAACAACAGGTAAGTATGAAATCTGGCATATGAAAAAGAAATTGTATTATTTACAGAATTTTAGAAATTGTGGTGAATTTTACAATGGTTAGTGGTTATTTAAGGTTCAAAGAAAAGATGAATTTGAGTCATTAAAGTCCTTAATCTATTTTAGGTTCAAATACCTCAACTCAAAATAAAACTGGAGTACCTTTCCTAAGATCTTGTCCAAAGTGCAATATTCAATTCAATCTTTTGGATCCTTTGAAATACCACATGAAGGTAAAGCTTTTTTCAAAATTTGATTTTTTAAAATATGTACAAATCCATGAAAATATTCAGGATTGATCCATAGTAAAGCTGGTTTGTTCATATATTTAGATAATAAATCATCTCATTGGTATTTCAGTATAACTCAAGTAAAAATTGATATTTGTAATGATTGTCTTTATAGAAGATTATAAAATCTTCCCATTCCTAAAATTTAAATTTTTTTTGAAAATTCAGTTCATATACATGCCACAGTGCATTCATAGTGCACTTTAATTTTAAATGAAAATAGTGTTAATCAGAATGCTCTAGTGACTATATCATGCCATTCTTCAAACTTTTTGTAAAGCAGGCATTTTATTAGGCACTTGATTCTACATAAAACTTAAAATTCCTTTTGTGTATTTTTAAAAATATTTTTTAGTTGTTGATGGATCTTTATTTTATTTATTTGTATGTGGTGCTGAGAATCGAACCCAATACCTCACGCATGCTAGGCAAGTGTGCTACCACTGAGCCACAACCCCAACCTTCTTTTTTTATGTATTTTTTATCCATTGTGACAAATGCATGCCACATGACTTGTTGAAAATCTTAGTTTTCCCATTTAATTTTCAACAGACTTCTAATGATAGGACATTGTATATGAAATGATAGTTTTAACTCAATCTGGAATATACTTTATATAGTTTCAAATGAGTTCTAGCTTTTCAGGAAACTCCTGAAATTAGGATTTAGGTGATTTTCAAAGTACTAATGAAGGTGTGGGATTTAGGAGAAACTCCACTTAAAATATTTTAGAAGATATTACAGTATTCTGTTTTTTCTGTATAAAGATAGTCTGTATTCTCTTTGCATGCCCAGTGTAAATGGCACGAAGTGGGGAAGGAAGCAAGAAAAAAGGTAATGTAGATGATATATGGGAAAGAAGGGATGAGAAGAGTGCAAAGCAAAGAAGCAACTTAGGAAAAGGTACTGCTCACTGTTCTGAAGATTGGCATATTTTTATTGAAATTAAGCGTTTTACAAAAAAAAAAAAATAGGGGGAAAAGACGTATTTTAAAATTCCAAATACAAATCTCTTTGGGGGCAAAACTATTGAATAGATTACTACACTTACTTCCCAGAGTGTATTTGAGAAAGGTGAATCCAAGTCTCACATTATCAGTATTTCCTTTGATATTTTCCTGTTCTAGTTTGTGGTGCTGCTCTTTAGGATATAGGTGGATATCTCTCTCTTTTATAATGTCATTGTGAATGTACCATTGACATTTTTTTTAAATACCCTTTTTATCTGATTGTTTCATGCTTTTCATCTAAATTCCATTTTATGTGAATTTTATGTGATAGCAAGCTTACAACCCTTGCTTTTTTATTGTTTGCAATTTACCTGTTATTTTCTTATTTAGCCTTTTATTTTCAACCTTTCCAAATCACTTTATTTTTTGTAGATTTCTTATTTTCACTAGTTTCTTTTGTAATCCTACATGAAAATCTTTGTTTTCATTCATTTAAGCCCATTTATATTCATTGATAGGAGAGATTTAATTGGTAAGATACATTTAATTGGTCTTGGTTCTGTTTTACTTTATTATGTTTTATTTTTTGAGTCTTTTATGTTGTACTTATTTTATGTGTACATAGCTTAGACTTTAGGAAAGTTACTGTTTCCCAACCTAACTTGTTTTGTTATATAGGCTTGTCCCTTTTTTAAACCACTTTACTGAGGTATGACAAGAAGCTGTACATACTTCATACATACAATTCAGTGAGTTTGGAAATTAGTTTACAGCTGTGAAACCATCTACAGTCTATGCCATAAATATATTCATCACCTTAAAAGTTTGCAGCTGCCCATTGTATTATTTTTGTGATAAGAACACAACATAAAATCTACCCTCTTGGCAAATTATTTTAAGTATGCAATACAGTATTGTTAACTGTAGGCAATATGCTGGTATAGTAGGCCATTAGGGCTTACTCATGCTGAATAACTGAACTTTCATACTCTTTGACTAATACTAAACTTCCCCATTTGCTCTTTCTCCCAGATCATGGCAACTACCAGTCTATCCTCTGTATTATTAGTTCGACTATTTTAGATTTCTCTTAAAAGAGGAATCGTGGTATTGTCCTATTGCTGATTTATTTCACTTAATATAATATCTTGCAAGTCTATTGTTCAAATGGTAGAATTTCTTTCTTTTTTAAGGCTGAATAATATTCCAGTGTGTGTGTGTGTGTGTGTGTGTGTGTGTGTGTGTGTGAGAGACACACACACACACACACACCACGTTCTCTTTATCCATTTGTATTTAGATTGCTTTTAGGTCTTAGCTATTGTGAATAATGATACAATGAACACAAGATTGCAGATTTGCCTTTGAAATCCTAATTGCAATTTCTTTGGATGTGTACCCAGAAATAACACTGTTGGATTTTTTGGTACTTGTTTTTAATTTTTGAGGAACTTCCATATGTTTTCCACTGTGGCTACACCAGTTTATATTCCCATTATGGGTATACATTTTCTCCACATTGTCACCAACACTTATCTTTTGTCTTTTTGGTAAAGTTTGAGGTGATAATTTGTTGTGGTTTGATTTGTATTTCCCTGATAATTGATGTTGTTGAGTGCCTTTTCACCTACCTGTTAGCTATTTCTATATCTGCTTTTGAGAAATGTCTTATTCAGTTCCTGTATCCATTTTTAAATCAGTTTGGTTTTTTTTCTGTTGACTTATAAGAGATCTTGTATGTTTTAGATATTAACCTTTTATCAGATCTGTGGTTTGTGAATATTTTCTCCTATTTATTTTTGTTTTTAAATGATTCTAAGAGACAATAAATAAATTTTCTTTTCTTTTCTTTCTTTCTTTTTTTTTTTTTTCTTTTTTGGTACTGGGAATTGAACACAGGGGCACTCACCCACTGAGCCTCATCCCCAACCCTGTTTTGTATATTATTTAGAGACAGGGTCTCACTGAGTTGCTTAGTGTCTTGCTTTTGTTGAGGCTGACTTTGAACTTGAGATCCTCCTGCCTTAGCCTCCCAAGCTGCTGGAATTACAGGAGTATGCCACCATGCCTGACCCTGAATACATTTTCTTATTGAGAAAAAAGGCTTGTGTATGAAAGTATTCCACAATAGGATCAGTTTATGTGAGGTTTTGATTTTATTCATGAGATAGACTTCCCTGTCTAATATTTAAGTATTCCAGATAGAATGTGTTGAGATTTGCAAGATATAATTGATGCTTCTTTCTTTGTGAGACACATATCTTCTAGCACCTTAACTCTGGAGAATGGCAGGTTAGCAATGCTTAGAGTCTGCTTCCAACCAAGCTTACTAAAGTACTACTTTGTTATTTAATAATTAAGCTTATACATAGTCATTTCAAACAACCTTTTCTTTAAGCTATATGTTGCTGCAAATATGAAATATATTATTTTTGGCCAAGAAGCAAATTATTAAGTATTTACATTTATAAATATATAAGTCAAATATATAGATATCCCTGACCTTAAGGATTTCAATTTGTTTTTGAAGCTATTTCTTTATCAATATAGTAAGTATTTATTGTTAGAATTGTTCAAAATTTATAAAAGAAAGCCAACATTTTGGTGAATGTCCTTCCAGATATATTGCCATGCACAGTTTTATATGATCTGGCCCTAGATGTAAACACAGAATTCATTTTTATTTATTTAAATATTATTTTAATTGTAGATGGACCCAATATCTTTATTTATTTATTTTCATGTTGTGCTGAGGATTGAACCCAGTGCCTCACACATGTGAGGCAAGTGCTCTACCACTGAGCCACAACCCCAGCCCAAACACAGAATTCATTTTTGACCTTTCATTTTTAAAAGAGATATAAAAAAGGCTTTTTTCCCCCTTCTTTTTAGCGTTGTTGCCCGGACATGATAAATAACTTAATGGAAAGTGTTAAAACAGAACTTTCATGTGCCGAAGACAAAACTAATACTGGTTCAGAGAAAGGAAAATTGATTATGTTAGTTAGTGACTTTTATTATGGAAGACATGAAGGAGCCATGGAGGAAGAACCGAAGACTTACACAACCTTTAAATGCTTCAGTTGCTTGAAAGTTCTTAAAAATAATATTAGGTATGTAAATACTTACTTACAATTGTTTCACAATTAGATACTACAATGTATAAAATACTGAATTTTGGAATATGAATATTATATTATTTTTCTTTCCCACTCTAGGTAAAACAGTATGTTGAAAAGATTTTGCCCTCTCTTTATTTTTTCTTTTTTTAGTATTTTTTTTTATTTGTAGATGGACATAATACCTTTATTTTATTTATTTTCGTGTAGTGCTGAGGATCAAACCCAGTGCCTCACATGTTCTAGGCAAGCCTCTACCACTGAGCTACAATCCTAGCCCTTTTGCTCACTTATATTTTAGTAGTAATACTACTATTATTAGTAATACTTGTATTACTCCTGGATCTCCATAATCATATTTTTTCAGTTAGTTTAAGAAAGGACAAAATATATTATAACTTAAGGAAAATTACTTCTTTGCTATCTATATAACAGTGAACTAAGAGTTTTGTAACATGTTTTTATTTTCTAGTTGCTTGTGAGTCTTACATACCTTTTTTTATATTTTTGTGTTGTATATGGACACAATACCTTTATTTTATTTATTTGTTTTTATGTGGCACTGAGGATTGAACCTAGTGACTCACAGATGCTAGGCAAGTGCACTACCACTGAGCTACAGCCACAGCCCCTTAAATTTCTTTATATCACAAGAAAAAATACATTATCTAATCTAACCTCCATGCTGGTCTTATTTAATGCTCAAATTTTTCTGTTTGTACTTAAATTTTTTAACATATTTACCTATAGAGATAGTGATCTTTTTTGGTGGTCATCTTTTAGAAATTTTCAAGTTCTATGAAACATGTTTGCTTTGATTTTATGATTTAATACATTTAAAAACAGATTTAATTTCCAGTGAATTTTTAAAAATTTACTTATTTATTCTAATTTGTTATACATGCCAGCAGAATGCATTTCAGTTCATAGTACACATATAGAGCACAATCTTCATGTCTCTGGTTGTACACAAAGTAGAGTCACACCATCCAGTGGAATTTTAAAGATTTTATACATGTATGCTTTAAATTTTAAGAACATGTACTTTGTAGTCTTTGAGTTATGTGTTACATTACATATCTTAACATTTCAAATGAGGTAGTAGCAAAACAAAGTAACAAGACATCTCAATAGGTATTTTTCATTGCTTGTGTAGCCTGACATTTATGTTAAGTGAGGTTGTTTTTCTAACATTTTATAATAAAAATTTTTGAATATTCAACAAAATTAAAAAAATTTACAGTGACCATCTGTTTATTACCTCAATTCTTTTTTTTTAAAGAGAGAGAGATAATTTTTTTTAATATTTATTTTTTTAGTTTTCGGTGGACACATTTTATTTTATTTCTATGTGGTGCTGAGGATCGAACCCAGCACCCCGCGCATGCCAGGCGAGCGCGTTACTGCTTGAGCCACATCCCCAGCCCTTATCAACACAATTCTACCATTAACATTTTACTATACAAGTTGAGTATCCCTTATCCAAAATTCTTGGCACAAGAAATGCTTTAGATTTGGGATATTTTATCAGATTTTGGAATATTTGCATATATCTATAATGAGATGTCTTGAATTCAAGACCCAAGTCTAAACACAAATTTTTTTTTTGTTTCTCATGTCCCTTATACACATAGTCTAAAGGTGATTTTATATAATATTTATGGTATACTTGGCATTTTGCCTGTGACTCATCATATGAAGTAAGGTGCAGAATTTTCACCTTATGATATCGTGGTGTGCAAAAGTTTTAGATTTTGGAGCATTTCAAATTTGAGATTTTCAGATTAGGGATGCTGAGCTTGTACTTATTTTACCACGTATCTATTTATTGATAGAACCATTTGATTTTTTTGGGTAGTTTTCAAAGTAAATTGCAGACATTTTCCAAAACCAAAGGAATAAAGAAGATATTGCAAGGTATTTCATAATCAACTCTAAAAAGAAGCAGTGTTTTGAAGGCGTAAAAAAGAGATAAATTTTAAACTTTCACAATGATTGCTATCTAGTCCACCCTGTTTCAAGATTTTCTTTAGGAACTTATAGTGAGTTATTGTAAGTAGTTGACCCATTCTTAAAATTGTTGCTTTGATTGAAATTTTACTTTGAAATTCAGCCAAAAGCTTCAGTACACTCTTCAAAGTAGGCATGCCCATTTATTGTATACTCTGTGCCTTAAATGACATTCTGTAAGGAAGAATGAACAATTTTTTTTAAGAGAGAGGGGAAAGAGAGAGAGAGAGAATTTTTTAATATTTATTTTCTTTTTGGCGGACACAACCTCTTTGTTTGGTGGTGCTGAGGATCGAACCCAGGCCGCACGCATGCCAGGCGAGCGCGCTACCACTTGAGCCACATCCCCAGCCCAACAATTTGTAACAACAGTAAGCCAGTATCACTAAATAAAGCAAAAGGTTCTTTTAATTATTATTTTTACATGCATTTTGAAACCAATATACAAATACATACATATATATCTTCAAAATCTTCAAAAGATTTCTTTCATGACTCCATAGCTACTGTTGGTGGTAGTTTTCTTTCTATAAGTGTTTTATTTTGAAATGTAAATAGTATTTCATGTGTTGAAAAGAAGCCTGCTATTTTTCTTTACGCAGAACGTTTTGAAACAAGATGAAAAGAAAAATTGTTTAGTGAGCCACTTAATGAATAAAGTACACACTTTTTTGTGTGTGATGGGGTCCTGCTGTTTTGCCCAGGCTGTTTTTTTTTAGAGGACTTTAAGGCCTTGGAGATATTATTTTGATTTAGTCAGACAACTGTATTTTTAAAATTTAAGATCAGACATTTATTTGTGAGGTTTCTCTCTGGTTATAAATCTGAATCTTTGTACCTGTTGACAATGATTTATAGGTTCATGAACCATATGAAGCACCACTTGGAACTCGAGAAGCAGAATAGTGAGAGCTGGGAAAACCACACCACCTGCCAGCACTGCTACAGACAGTATCCCACGCCCTTCCAGTTGCAGTGCCACATTGAGAGTACTCACACTCCCCATGAGTTTTCTAGTAAGTGACAATCCTTGAAATTATGAATATTACTGATTTTGATCATCTGAACTATGAAAGAACCTTAAGAATCCTGATGGTAAAATAGACTTTGAGGGTAAAATTTAAAAAACAGTTTTTAACTCTTATACTTAAATAAAATTTGTTACTAAAATTGAAATGCCTCTTGTAAACAATTCATTAATATTTCTATATTTTTGGTTCATCTGAAAAATGTGGCTAAAACTAGTAGTACACTTCCCTCAGTGATGTTATGAGAATTAAATAAACTAAATAATGCCCTTAGAACAATGTTAATAGTGATAGAATTATTAGAACACCCTCACTGTTATTTCTACCACTATTACTGTTACTTCTTGTTGTCATTGTTACAGATTTACAAAATGCATCCTTTTTAAATATACATCCTTAAAATTGTGTGATTTTTTCCCCACTTGCAGCCATTTGCAAAATCTGTGAATTGTCATTTGAAACAGAGCATATTCTTTTACAACATATGAAGGATACTCATAAACCTGGTGAAATGCCATATATTTGCCAGGTAAACAGATTTTTTGTATACTTAGGTATCTATTTAATTTTCAGGTGCCATGAAATAATGTTGTTCTTTGGATTTTTGACCATTTAAGGTAGTTATCGTACTAAAATTGAAGAGCCTCTTCATTAGTGAAAACTCCCTTGGGGGTGATAGGCTAGATTTGCCTTGTGGGCCATAGTTTGTTGACCCTCCTGTTCTGGGCAAAGAGATATCCTGCTGGAGAAAGAAACCTAAAGGCTTATCGTATTAGGGGAGAATGTAGACATTACAGGAAAACAGGAAATGCTTCTAGTTATAGAGAACCCAATTACATGTTTTGGGACCATTGTTTTTCCAGAATTTAAAGTGACTGTCAGTAATAAGAAAGCAAGGTAACGATAAATTGCCACTGTTTCATAGCCTTTAAAAATCTAAAGAAGAAAATACTTTTTTGTATAGCAGGAAAAACTTTACAGAACAAGAGGCATCAAAGTTTGAAAATTCAAGTCAAGATGGGGATGGTGAAAAGAAGGGAGTCTAGCTATGTTTTGGAATATACCCCTAACTTTGAAAGATAACTCTTCAGTTTCAGAGTTATCTTTATTACTTTTACTAATAGGACTCTTGGTTGCATAGACAGTAAAGCTAAACTAGTAGTTCAGAATATTCTTAACAAGTACCTCATCATGGCTAATTTGATGTCATTTTATGCAATTATAAAGCTTCAGTTAAACTAAAACTTCTTTTTATTTTTAGGTTTGCCAGTTTAGATCTTCAACATTTTCTGATGTAGAAACTCATTTTAGAGCATCCCATGAAAACACGAAGAACTTGCTGTGTCCATTCTGCCTCAAAGTTAGTAGAATGGCAACCCCCTATATGAATCATTACATGAAACATCAGGTGAGATTTAGTAGTTCGTATTTGTTTGCATTGTTTTGATGAAATGTTAGACATACTTAGAACATTGGTTAAATTTCTTCTGAACAGGAAGCAAAGTTGCTCTGAAAGACATAATTAATTTACAGTTTATGTTTATGCTTGTGAAACTTTCATTTCTTTCCCTTGCCTGCTTTCTGATGATGTTGAGGCTTATATACAATAAAAGTTCTGAAAGGTAGTTAGAAAGGGAACCTCAGAATAGAGGGAAAGGGGAAGATGAGTGGAATATTCAGGTTGGATATTTTGGGGTCCAAGAGTGGTAGACACAGGAATGATTTTGAAGGTGGTTATCAAGAGTAGGGAAAAGAATATGTGAACCAAGGAAGCTTAAGACTGAGGACTCATAACCTTCTGTTTTCCTTTTTTCCTCCAACCTTACTTCTACTTCCCAACCCACTTTGTATTACTGGAAGACCTGTAGTTGTCATTAGTGACCCAGAATGGTCTCTTATAGCAGCTGATAGCAAAAGAAACAGCAGTGACCCTTATTACCAGATATGTGAATTATGCTGGAGAACTATATTTAGGTTGCAATTCTTTCCTGTATGACTTTGTACAGTTCTGCTATGTAATTTCTATGATACCAGTATTAGTGCTTGTACCTTTCCCTTGAATTCTCATTTTTCTCCCCACTGGTTCTTTTCCTGAAACAATTAGACTGTCACTTGGGCTGAAAACTTTCATGAAGCAGTGAGCCTGTTCTTGGATGTTTAAAAGAGTAACAGTGCTTCTGTCAAAATCAGAAGTCAGTGGATTTACTGAATCTGATTATGTAATCAAGCTTTGCCTCCTCACTGATCAGCTTATTATATTTTCTTATTATTGACTGCATTGTCATGGCCAATTTATTAAGTACTGGTGCTAATATGGGTTTTGGTTATGGTCATTAGATAATCATGAAATCAACTTGTAGTTGTTAATTGGAAAAAATTATTAAAGAATTTTCAGACACATCCAGGATTGTCAGTGTTACCATTGCCATGGTACCAATGTATTTTTTTTTTATCCTGGTCAGCTACCATGTTCTTAAGAAACTCTGGCAAAATCTTTCCATTCAAGGATTTCCCCAACAGTGTTCCATCAGGTATTAATAGGTATTCTCACAAATTGTTTTTAATAAATTTCACAAATGGCTGGGTTTACAAAATTAGTAGAATTTTTTGCTGTGTTTAAAATCCAGACTTTTTAGAGCTTTTAATATCCTAACAGAAATTATAAATCTTGGGCTGGGGTTGTAGCTCCTTGGTAGAGCACTCACCTAGCATGTGTAAGGCACTGGGTTTGATCCTCAGTACCACTTAAAAAATAAATAAATAAAATAAAAGTATTGTGTCCAACTACAACTAAAAAGAAGAAGAAAATATAAATTTGAGGTGCAATGGCACATGCTTGTAATCTTAGCATCTTGACAAGCTGAAGGAGGAGGATTCCAAGTTCTAGACCAGCCTCAGCAATTTAGCAATGCCCTGTCTCAAAATAAAAAGGTCTGGGGATGTGGCTCAGTGGTAAAGCAACCCTGAGTTCAATCCTCAGTACCAAAAAAAATATATATATATATATATATATAAATTTTCAAGTAGGACACAGTACATAATATTCCCTAAACTTGTTTGACCATTCTACCTTTTTTGTTGTTGTTGTTTGTTTGTTTTGGTACCAGGGATTGAACTCAGGGGCACTTGGCCACTGAGCCACATCCTCAGCCCTATTTTGTATTTTATTTAGAGACAGAGTCTCACTGAGTGGCTTAGTGCCTTGCTTTTGCTGAGACTGGCTTTGAACTCATGATCCTCCTGCCTTAGCCTCCCGAGCCACTGGGATTACAGGTGTGTGCCACTGTGACCGGCTTCTACCCTTTATTTGTATAATACCTATTAATATTTCTTAAGGAATAGAATTTGAGAAACACTATTCTTTGTGCTCTGTATTTCACTTTTGGCTTTTGATTTTGAAAAGAATGAAATAAAAAGCAGTACTCTCCCTGCTTCATAATAAGGCTTTTAGCATAATTCTTTCCTTTGCTTTACTAGGCTCCAGAGTATGTGGATATAGACATGGAGTGAGTGATACATGCTTAGAAAGGTAGAAATTGATAGGTAGGCTATGTGGACTGTGTCTCTTTAAGTTCTTTATCTAATCTGTAGTCACTCTAAATGCCCTAGTTCATATGTCCTAACTTACCAGGTGTGTTGGAAAGAGTTATCCCAGCAGGTCTGAGTTGTCTGATGAGGGCCTGCTTCTTAATTTATAGATAGTCATCTTATCACTGTGTCCTTACATGACAAAGGGGTCCCAAGAGAGCTTTCCAGGGTCCCATTTATGAGGGCCTCAGCTTCATGACCTAATTACCTTCCAAAAACCCCACCTCCCATGCTATCACATTAGAGGCTAGGATTTCAGCATATGAATTGGCGTCAGACTTAAACATTTGACCCATCACAGGAGTTCAATTTCTTTTTTCTTTCCTTTTTTTAAATACATGAACACAATATCTTTATTTTGTTTTTTATTTTTATGTGGTGCTGAGAATCGAACCCAGTGCCTCCTGTGTGAGGCAAGTGCTCTGCCACTGAGCCACAACCCCAGCCTTTTTTTTTTTTTGATAAGTTTCATGTATCTAAGAGGTAGGCAGTCACTAATAAAAAGGAAAAGAATCTATTGATCAAAGGATCATCAGGCATCCCTCAAGTTATTTTCAGTTTGTGTATTATTCAGTAAATACTCAAAAGCTAGAACTGAGCAGGATTATAATCTTATAATAGAAATGACATTATTAGTGCAATTTTAGACAATAAGAATTATTAAACCTGTAGTTTATTCTACAGATTTTTGAAGACTTCGATTGTAACTTTTTTCTAAAAAAAAATAAATACATTATCACATCTTGAGTGATTTTAGCGCTAGCAATCCAGTTTGTATAACTTTTATGAAAGGATGAAAGAATTCAGATGTGTTAAATATCTTCATTAACTCCTTAGTAATAAGAATATGCAGTTACCATATACTAATCATTTGCCATATGACAGCCACTGGTGCTTTTATGTGCACTATTTTGTTTAATATTTATAGTCACACTATTAAGCAGGTATGTAATTGCTTCTATTTTATAGGTGAGGAAATAAAGCTTTATAGAGAGTAACTTGCATAATATCACATTCTCCAATAAATGGCAAAGCCAAAAATTGACTTAAGAGTCCAAGTTTTTACTACAGACCCATATTCCACACACTGATATGAGGCCTAAAGAGAGATATTAGTCATTACCCATGAAAAATCACTCAAATCACCCAAACATTATAATATGCTTGTCAAAAAGTTCAAGTCAGACAACTTTCTTCTTTACTCTTGGAACTTCACATTACTGTTTCTTTGGTTGAATATAATGTTATTTTTAAAAGGTACTATATCATCATCATCATCCTTAGCATCTTGAATGTATACAAGCATAAGAGGGAATAGTAGATTAATGTCTCCAACCTCAGGGCTCTGTGCAAATGCTCACTGAATGGAATGGTAGACATTTTGAACTAGCTAAATTGTGCCTGCTGCTTGTGTGTGGTCTGTCAGTCTCTTACTGTCTGCCTCATTAATTAACAAACATTTATTGAACCTAATAAATGCCAGGGACTGTTTTAGGTATTGGGGATACAGAAGTGAGAAAAGCAAAGTTTGTGCCCTCTGGAATTTACATTGTTGTGGAAAAACAACATGTTTGCACATGTTTGTGTGTGCATGCACAGGTGTGCAAGCAAGGAGGAAGATCTGAATGTATGTGTATGCTAACTGGTGGCAAGTACAATGGGAAAAATCAAATGGATAGGAAGTTGCCAGGTCTTAGGTGAAGGAGTGGTTTCTGTTTTTTGTATGAGGTAAAAAACAGGGGGCCTCTTCAAAGGAGATAAGGGAGTAAGTCTTGTAGCTATCTGGGACAGGCAAAGGATAATGAAGTGAGCATATAACTAGGATGTTCAAGAAACAGCAAGGAGGTTAGTGTAGCTGGATCACAGTAAACAAGTAGGAAGAGATGAGGTTGCAGCAATAGAAAGTAAACCAGATTATATAGGACCTTATAAGCTAGAGTCAGGATTCTGGAGTATTAAGGAAAGCCACTTTCAGAAGTTTTCGTATATGAAAGATATGCATTGTATTTAACATCGCTCTGGCAGCCGTAAGAAGAATTGACTGTAATGGGATTGAAGGGTGGAAACAGGGAGAAAAATAGAAGCCTATTGCAAGAGTTTACATGAGTGGTTGGTTTTATACTAATGTGAGTGGTAGAAGTGGTTAGAGGTGATGAATGATGAGTTTTTTTGTTTGTTTGGTACTAGGGATTGAACCCAACCCAGGGATGCTTTGCCTTTAAGCGACATCCCCAACCCTTTTTTAAAAAATATTTTTCTTTAGTTGTAGATGAACACAATGACTTTATTTTATTTATTTATTTTTATGGTGCTGAGGATCAAACCTAGTGCCTCACATATGCTAGTGAGCACTCTATCACTGAGCCACAGCCCAGCCCCCAACCCTTTTTAATTTTTATTTTGAGACAGGATCTCCCTAAGTTGCTTAGGACCCCACTATGTTTTGAGGCTGGCCTTGAACTTGCAGTCCTCCTGAGTTACTTCAGTTACTGGCACACACCAGTGTGCCTGACTTGATGGAGATAATGAGAAGTGAAAAGATTATGTCTTTTGAAGATATTGCTAATACATTTTATTAATGGGTTGAATGTAAGGTATAAGAAAAAGGAGTTAAGAATAACCAGACTTTCTCCTTTTTTCCTTTTGTCCTATACAGCTATAGAAATAGAGTTCCCATATACCGAGACATTGGCAAAACTAGGGAGGAACACATTCTCTCGCCATCACATCCACATACACACAAACACATATACACACACATACACAGTGAAACAAAGATGTCAAGTAGGTATTTGGATTGTGGCTATTTAAAGCCATGAAACTGACCCTTACTGACAACACACCTGCGGTCCCAGGGACTTGGGAGGCAGACGCGGGAGGATTGTAAGTTCAAGGCCAGCCTCAGCAATTTAGCAAGACCCTGTCTCAAAATAAAAAACATAAAAGGACTGGAAATGTAGCTCCATGGTACCCTGGGGTTCAATCCCCACTAACAAGTAAATAAATGAAGCCATGAAACTAGATGAGGTATAGGTAGAGAAAAGATTTCTGGGAATTATACTTTGTAGGATTTTCTTTCTGGTTATCTTGATTTCTGTTTCTTGGGTGAGTTTTCCCCTTCCACCTCTCTCTTGAGCATATATAGGTGAGTTTATTTATGTTGACTGTACTTATGATATAATATAAGACACCACACCTCCCAAACAGTCTGAAGATAAAACTAACATAGTAAAATACGTTTTATATAATATGTAGTTTGAGCTTTTTATAGAAATTTTATTCACCACATGCCTGCTGTGCATCAGTAACTCCTGGTATTTTTCATATGTCAGCTCATTTTGATTATTCTGAAAGATTGGGTCTTATATAGTGATATGAGCTGGGGTTGTGGCTCAGTGGTAGAGTGCTTGCCTAACACATATGAGGCTGGGTTCACTTCTCAGCACCGCATGCAAATAAATAAAACAAAGGTCCATCAACAACTAATAAAAATATTTTTAAAAAAAAGATTGTTGTGCTTATGGAGCTAGAGCTTTAGAGAAAACATGTATTTATGTTCTGAATTTACATATAATAGAAAAAAATTTAATTAATGCAAGCATATACATAAAGATTACAATTAATAATATATAGTGGAAAGAACATTAACCAGCTCTGCGCAAGTGACAAATTTTTCTTGTGTCATAGTTCTCCTTTTTTTTTTCTTTGTGGTTCTGGGGATTGAACCCAGGGCCTTGTGCATTCTAGGCAAGCACTCTACCAACTGAGCTATATCCCCAGCCCCCCACTGGGCTATATCCCCCAGCCCCATATTTCTTATTATTAATAGGACTTTACTTGAGGAAGAACTCAGTCAAGTGGTTCTCAAACAGTAAATTGGAAACAGTGCTCATTTAAAACCCTAACCCTAACCCTCCATACTCATGCTAACAATATTATAGCCTCTAGCCACAGGTGTCTGTTTAAATTTAAACTTATTAAAATTAAATAAAATTAGAAAATCAGCTTTTCAGTTGCAATTGTCCACATTTAAAGTGCTCAGTAACCACATATGAGTAGTGAAAATAATGGATAGTACAGCTGTAGAACATCATCATTGCAAAAGGCTCTATTGGATAGGTTTGCTTTTTATAACTATTCCTGTAGCATAACCTTCTTGGGAGTTTCTGGTTAGATTTGTTTGATTTTAGAAAGTTCAGTTTATATTACTAACTTGGAAGACAAATGGAAATAGCTAAAATTGTACTTTACATTTTCTAAGGATAAAAATGTGGTGTAATTCATTTTCTCAGTATAATGTGTTTGAATAGTATATACTTCAAATTTATAATTAAAAGCACCTTCCCATTACAATTGGTATAGGACTTTCCCAATTAGATCCTAATTGATATAATTTTTATATTGGATATTTTTATGGTAACAAAAACTTTTGAAACTCAAATACCAGTGTAAGGATTGATTTTAAAAGAAATAAAGCACTTTGCTAGTATGCACAATGCCCTGGGTCTCATCCCTAGCACCAAAAAAAACATAAAGAGGGTATTATGACATTATTTATAGTGAGAGATGGTAAGATACTGGTTTTAAATGGTTTAATTATTAGAATTAAGATGAATTTCAGGCCCCAGAATTTATGGTGGTAAAAGTTATTGTTCCTACTATTATTTCTACTATTTTATGTAAACAGAAAAAAGGAATTCATCGTTGTACAAAATGCAGGCTACAATTTTTGACCTGCAAGGAGAAAACAGATCATAAGACCCAGCATCGTACATTTATAAAGCCTAAAGAACTGGAAGGATTGCCTCCTGGAACAAAAGTGAGTATCAACTATGTTGTATTTTAACATTTTTTATAAGAGAAATAAACTCCTGCCTAGTTTCATCTGTTATCTATAATATACAAAATAACATCTGATTATAATTAAGACCTTAATTTTAGGTTTTATTGTTCTTTATCTTGGAAAGGAAAACTTCAAAACTGTATTTTTGAGTTGATTGACGTGTGCTTTGTTGAAGCAATATTACTTTGTAGAGAGTGCAACTAGATTAACTATAGGCTGAGACAGCTGTTGTTTCAGTATTCTGTAGGCTGTTTTTGAGCTATTCCAGTTATTAGTATGTGTCTGTTTCAGGGGCTAGACTATAAAATGTTTTAGTTCAGGAATCTTGTTTAATTTATCTTTGTGTCCCAAGCATCTGTCCTAATGCCTTGAATGCCATAGGTTTGTTGAAACAAGTTCTGTTCCTGGATAGCATTGCTGTTTTTAGTAAGAAGCACACATCTAACTACAAACTTTCCTTTTCTTGTTTGCCTTATATACATGTTTTCTCTGACTTCTTTATATGAAGTTATTACTTGAATATTTGCTCCAGAGAAGGGATGGATAATCCAAACTGAAATAATCCCCAGACATTGATATTTAACTTTGAGTACATACTTTTGAATGTGAATATTTTAGTTAATTCAAATAGAAGATATAATGTGAAGCAATGATCTGAGATTTTAGAATGAGAAAAACTATCTGGTGTCCTTCTCTACAGTCATTCATTCCATGCAGAATACTAATGTAAGAAGTACACACTTCTCATATCTTCCCTTGCAAGTAACAAAGTGCCCCAATATTAATATTAATATCTTAGAGCATTTGGAATAAGCTTAATTCCAAATTTAAAAAGTTTATCAATGTGCCTTTTCATACATTCTTTTTATTTCATCTATGCAGTGCTCTAATGAGATAGGCAAGATACATATTCTCCCCATATTACAGATAAGAAGGCTTAGGTGGGATAAATTCCTTACCCACAGTCACATGGCTAGAAACAAGTAGTATGGAAATTTAATTTCAGGTCCTTTGACTCCTTGTCCTAGGCTTTTATATGATACCAAAGTCACGTGTATTTCACAGAACATCACATAGACTATTCCTCAAGTACATAGAGGGAATTATAGTCACATGATTAAAGAGAGTGTTAATAAGTGATTGCTTTCCATCATTAACTATTGGGTATAATTGAATATTTTCTTTTTCCAAATGTTAGGTGATAATTTTTATATTAGCTACCATTAAGGAACTTCTGAGCATTATTAAAATCTCCATGCTGTACGATAAATTGATTTAACCTCCATTATGATATTTGGAAGCAAAAATCATGCCCAATGAGTCCCCAGAAAGAAAGAGAAGGTCACATTTACTGACGATCTGATAATGCAGGCCTTTACAGAGTGATTTTAGGCTGTGGGATTTATTTGTTTACATATGTAGGTAGGAGGTAGTTAGGTAGTTCGTAGGTGCTAGAGTTTGAACTTGGGGCCTTCTACATGCTAAGTGCTCTACCACTGAGCTATATCCTCAGCTTTTAATTTTGATCTCTATTTGTGAAAACTTTTTACTTATACTGAAGTATAAAAATAGCCAGGGAACATGCTTTTTTAATATTGCTAAAATTGCACTAACACTCCTAATTATCCATTAATATCTGTGTTAACATAACTGCTACCAATAGAAAAAATATATATATAATAGCAGGAAATTAATACCAAGCTAAATTTCATTTAATTGGTATGACCATTTAGAATAAATGAGAGAATTGATTGTTTTTTATATTTACTATTTTCAAAATAATTATATTTAACTTTTTGTATTACAGTGATTTTTTTGTAACAACTTTGTTGAAAATGCAATTCATACCATGTAATTCATCTAGTTAAATTGTGCAATCCAATGATTTTATTTTATAACATTCTCAGAGTTTTTAAAACATCACCAACAGTCAATTTTAGAACATTTTTATCACCCCCAAAAGAATCCCCATGCCCATTAGCAGTCACTCTGTTTCTCCTCCACCATCCCATGCAAACTTACATCTACCTTCAGTCCCTATGGATTTTCCTATTATAAATAAAATCATACAGTATGTAATCTTTGGGGACTGATTTCTTTTGGCTGCCATAATGTTTCCTAAGTTCATCCATATTATAGCATGTTTCAATATCTCATTCCTTTTTATGACTAAATAATATTTCATGTTATGGATATTCCACCTTTTATTTATCCATTCATCATTTGGTGGGCATTTGAGTTGTTTCTTCTTTTGGCTGTTATGAGTAATGCTGCTACAAAAACTCATGTACAAGTTTTTGTGTCGTTGAAGAAATGCCTATTTGTCTATTTTTTTGTCTGCTGTTTTTGCTTATGCTTTGGGTGAAATATTTCAGAAACCATTGCCTAACTTATAGCCATGAGGATTTACTATCATATTTTCTTATAAAAGTTTTACCTTTTGAGGTCATAAAATTTGGTCTTTGGTACATTTGGAGTTAAATTTTGTATTTACTATGCAGTATGATTTGTGTATAGATATTAGTTTTTAACAGCACCATCTGTTGGTAAGAGTATTCTTTCCCCATGGAATTGTTTTGGCAACTTGTCTAAAATACATTGATAATAAATGTGAGAACTTACAGATGATATTTTTAACACTACTGTGAAATTAATTTTCTAGAATAAATATATATATATATATATATTGTTGTTGTTTTAGGTTACTATTCGAGCTTCATTTGGACCTCTTCAGCCAAGACCATCAAGTACACCATCCAATTGTGCTCCAAGTACTTCTTCTCTTCAGGTCTTACCTCCAAAGTCTAAAAGCACAACTGCTAAAAATCTCACAAAATCTAATGCAAGTAAATCTAAGACAAGTAAGCCTAATGCAGCTGCCTCTGCTGCAAGTAAACCCAACACAAGTAAACAGAGTGGAGTTACAACTAAAAGCAAAGCCAAACACTCTTACAAGCAGAAGAGACAACGCAACAGAAAAAATAAAATCAGCATAGCTTTGAAAAACTTAAGGTACTTTTTATCTTTATTAGTCCTGTTAAAAATACTAATTTAATTTTAAATATTAAAAGTTCATTTTAATATAATTTACTATATCACAGAACCCTCTTGCACATTTACATGATAATCACTTATCTGGCATAAAGGCAAGTGAATGTAAAAAGTAGACCTTTTTATTGCCATTTACATGATAAAAGATAGACTTTTTACGTTTGCTGAGCAAAATTCAAATTACTGTGTTTATTCCATATTTTTAATCTTGTGATAGTTGAATCAGCTAATTTGATCCATTTCATTCCATGGAAATATTAACTGGTGTTTGACTTTTTTTTTTTTTTTAGAAATAGAGAGAATTTTAATATTTATGGGTTTTTTTAGTTTTTGGTGGACACAACATCTTTGTTTGTATGTGGTGCTGAGGATCGAACCCAGGCCACACGCATGCCAGGCGAGCGCGCTACCGCTTGAGCCACATCCCCAGCCCGGTGTTTGACTTTTTAAAAAAAATTTTGTTAGTTATTGATGGACCTTTAGTTATTTGTTTGTTTATATGTGGTGCTGAGAATCGAACCCAGTGCCTCACGCATGCTAGGCAAGCTCTCTACCACTAAGCCACAACCCCAGCCCCTGATGTTTGACTTTTTGCACTTGTTCTAACTTATTGTTTCAAAGTATATTTTCAAATTTTAAGTTTCTATTTAAGGATATTAATTTAAACATCTTGTCTTTAATTAATGAATTCTTTGTATACACATATATTTTAGTTGATGATGGATCTTTTTTTAATGGGGTTCTGAGAATTGAACCTAGTGCCTCAATCATGGTAAGCAAGCATACTCTACCACTGAGCTACAACCCCAGCCCCTCAATTAATGAATTCTTTTTAAAAATTTTTTATTTGTTCTAATTAGTTATACATGACAGTAGAAGACATTTTGACACATCATACATAAATGGAATATAACCTCCTTTTTTAATTAATCAATTCTTAATAAGACATTGCATTATTGTTTTTGTTTTACAATATGTTTTTATCATTTTTTTCCCTTTGCCTTCATAAGGTGTCGTCGGGGAATTCACAAGTGCATTGAATGTCATTCCAAAATAAAGGACTTTGCAAGCCACTTTTCTATATATATCCACTGTAATTTTTGCAAATACAACACTAACTGTAACAAAGCCTTTATAAATCATATGATGAGGTAAGTTAGATATGTAAATTGTTGATCAAAATTGTCATTCAGGGATGGGGGTTTAGTTCAGCAGTAGAACCCTTGCTTAGCATGTTGCCAGGCCCCGAGTTCATCCCAAGCACCTAAATAATAATAATAATTAAAATATCCATTCAAGAAGTTGATTTTTTAAAAACAAAGTTCCCATATTAGAAACAAGTTTGTCTTATCAAGGAGCTAAAAGTCTAACATAAGGGAACTTCAAGGATGTTCCTTGCACTGTTTCAGTACAGTAACTGATCAAAATACTAGGAAAGAAATTGTAAGAACAGTTAGACTAATGAAATAAGAATGGCTTTATTAGGGAAATGTGTTTTGCTATGGGAATTTTTTTTTCTTCTCAGTAAAAAAGTGGTTATTTTCAAATACAAAATTTTGATTTAATTTAGTTAAACTTGGTACTGGGTATTGAACCCTAGGCAACTTTACTATTTAGCTTCATCCTCAGCCCTTTTTACTTTTGAGTCAGGGTCTCACTAAGTTACTTAGGGTCTCGTTGACTTATTCAGGCTGGCCTCAAATCAGGAATTCTCCTGCCTCAGCCTCTTTAGTCACTGGGATTATAGGTGTGAGCCACTACACCCAGCTTAAATATAAAATTTTAAATGTCTTCAATATATTTATCAAATAAACACATGTAACTACACGAATTACCCTCTTCAAATGATCACTTTGAGAGGCTCCAGGTTTTTCAGTAATGCTAAGAATATTATTTACTTTTTCTTTTGGCCTGCTACTCTACCTGCCTCCCTCTCTTTCCCTCTCTTTTTCTCTCTTCTTTTCCCTCTTCCACTCTTCCCTTATCCATTTATCCATTCCTTTCTCTAGCCATCCATCTATGTTTAAATTCATTCAGTGAAATATGAAATAAGAAGCTATAAGAATACTCCATTCATACAATTGCTATTAGAATTCTGTTTTCAACATTTATTTTTTAATTGTAGGTGGACACAATACCTTTATTTTATTTTTATTTGGTGCTGAGGATCAAATCCAGTGCCTCACGCATGCTAGGCGAGCGCTGTATCTTTAAATCACAACCCCAGCCCTGGAATTCTTTTTCATATATTGATTCAGCTGCCATAATTTGTGTACCTACTGTGTACTCCATGCTAGAAGAAAGACTTCAGAGTTCATTTTACTTTCATTTGGACTTATTTTGTAGGGACTTATTCCTTTAGGATGGACTTTTTTAAATAGCCAAAAAAATTCAGATATAAATATTGAGGTAGTTCTATTTCAGTTAGTAAAAAGATATAACCAATAAAAGTAGTTTTATCGAAGATTGTAACAAGGTCTATTTGTTGCTTTCTGGTCCTAGTAGGCTACCCCAGGTATGAAGGGTTTTCCCTCACTTTTTGATGACTTCAGCATTTCCCACCCCACCTCCATAACGTTCAGCCTGACCTCAGGATACTTTGACTTCTTTGTGCTAGCATTTCACGTCCACTTCTAACTTCTTTCGCGTCCACTTCCCTTTCTTACCACAGTCTCATTTTATCTTATTGTACACAATATTGATTTCAAATTCTCATTACATTACTTTTAGGGTCTTGATCACTGTTTCTATTCCAGCAGCATCAATCCAATTTTTTAGTCAACCTCACCAAGCCTTAAGGGTCATCTGTTTTGAATGGTGCTTTGTTTTTTGTCCTAGAATCCTTTTACATCTTCAGTCATGCTTAGTCTTGCTGTTCTTGAATCTTTTATCCTTTTTGAAGTATCTGTGCTTGCTTCTAGTCTATCGAGCCACTTGTTTCAGCTGTGAATTAATGATCTTTAATTTGGTCTTTTAAAAATATCTGTTTTATCAGCATCAGTTGTCTAAATACTTTTCATGACCTTAAGAATTTTATTCTATTTTCTCAGTTATTAATCTTGCCTACAGATTACTCAGAGGTCATTGCTTTTGATTTTCCCAAGATTAACTTTTTCCTACCTCAAATTTTTTCCTTCATCCATAGTTTAATCTCAGAAAATAGACATGATCCACTTTTATAATCATCTATATTTCCTCCACAACTTTATTCAGCTGTTTTGGGCATTCATTTAATTTCTTTCTACACATATCTTCTGCCTATAAGAGTTCTTGGATTTTGGGGTTTGTTTTTTGCTTTGTAGGATGAGGGTGATTTGTTTTTATTTTGTGTATTTGCTTATCTTTCTTTTACAATCAGCATTTACAAAGAATATTTTTTACTAGCTTATTTGTCATTTTTTACTCTTTGTAATATGAGTATTATCCCTACCTATAGCTAAAGTTACTCCTTTAAAAGGTAGTTTAAACTTTTAAACTAGGTGGCCAGGTGTGGTGGCACATGCTTATCAATCTCAGTGGTCGGGGAGGCTGAGGCAGGAGGAGTGTGAGTTCAAAGCCAACCTCACAACTTACCAAGGCCCTAAGCAACTCAGTGAGACCTTATCTCTAAATAAAATATTAAAAAGGGCTGGAGATGTGGCTCAGTAGTTAAATGCCCCTGGATTTAATCTCCGGTATTAAAAAAAAAAATTATCAGTCATGTCCCAATACTAAATATGCTCACTAGTTTTCATTCTTACCCCTCTGTGACTTCTTTAGAGTATTTGATAATTTTGACTAATCACTTTGATTTTGGGACCAGGGATGGAACCCAGGGCCTTGAACATGCTAATCAAGTGCTGTACCACTGAGTTACACCCTCTGTCCCTAATCACTCACGTTTGAAACTCAATTTCTGTTAAACTGTCACTACTTTAACCACTCTCAGTGTTTTCTCTTTTACCTTTCAACTGTAAATCCTCCCAATTTCAATGATGAGTTTACTGAGACCTAGTTCTTCATTTCTGTTTGATATTAAGTCAAACATTATTGTATGTCTAGGATTCAAACCACCTTCATCCCAATACCCTTTATACTCAGTCTGCTTCAGGGTATTATTTGCATAAATGTGAAGCAACAGCTGGAAATAATTCACTGTCCCAAGTTTCTGAAGCTGGTGAGGTTTTCTTGCTCTGCCACCATATATTGTGGCTTCCTGAGAATCTACCTTCTGCAGTTTATCACTCTACCTTCCCACTACCTCAGTGGTTTTACACCCTTACCTCAGTTGTTCTAAATAGAGCCCCAGCCAGCCTTTTCCTCGGTATGCTGCTGGGAACAATGTTGATCTCACTCTGTGCCAAACACATGACTGCCCTAATGGTACATTAACTCTGCCCCTCATTTATAAAGGATTAAATTGGAAAATATTTTTGATGTTTCTTAAACCTATGTGTGTTAGAATTCTGTGACTATGACAGAATACCTAAGATAAACAACTTATAAGGAAGAAAATTTTATTTTGGCCCAGGGTTTCAGAGGTTTCAGTCCATGGTCAGATGGCTTTGTTTTTAGGACAGGGGCAAGGCAGTGCATTATGGTGGGGAGCACAAACTGGGGCAAAGCCCTCACTATGTGGTGGCATGGAAATGAAAAGAAAGAGTCTGATGTCCCATAGACTTCTAGAGCACATAAAGACTTCACCACTTCACAGTAGTACCACAGGCTGATGATCAATGCTTTAGCATGTGGGCTTTGGAGAACATTTAAGTTCTAAACCCTGACACCATGTGTCATTTCATTCTTCTTTTCCCATTTTCCATAGAAGCCCCAAAATATCTCATAGGACCTCTAGTCCCATTCTGTCCCTTATCATTCTCAATAGGCCACAGGCTCCCAAATTCCAGTGAGCCCCAAACCTGCACTGTCATTCCACACATTAAACTCTTATTTATCATTAGCCTTATATAGAACTGAAAGATTCCAGTTCTCTCTAAAGGCCTTATGGGTCCCTTTCATATTTCCTACTTTAGTAGCACTATGCTTTCTTGCCTCATACCTCACTGTAATTGGCATACCCTTACTCCTACCTGGTATAAACTTTTTCTCATAGGACTAAGTTCTCTATAAGGTCAAGTACCTTTATTCCCAAACCATAACCAAGTATATTCTCAGAAGAAAGGCCCCCAGATTATTAATCTTTTTCACAAGATAGTTTCTCCATATTCAACATCTAAAGTGAATTTCCTATTCTTAGTTATTTCCTGGAATGCCCCTCTCCTTCCCTCAGTTCACCTTCTGTGAAGTGTCTGATCATTGACACTCAACAGGGATAATTTCTCTTGAGTTCTGTAATATTTCATTATTCTGTTTCATGTGTGTCTATATTATCTTGTGAGAGAAGCTCTTTATATTTACCATGGTACCTATTCTGAGAGTATTTTCTTGAGATTGTAAAGATTCTTTCATTAAAGAATGAAAATAGGTTTAATGTTTAATGTCAGATTCTTTCCCCATGCATGCATAGTTTGCTGGTGGTGGTTACCTTGTGTTTGAGGGTAGCTATTGCCATGGCATGTTTACTCATTTGTATCTGTTAGTGCAAAATACAGTTAGTGCTTCTCAAACTTTAACTTGCATAGGAATCAGCTAGAAAATGCATTAAAATCAATTTCTGGGCTCCACTGCCAGAGATTAATTTGTTAGATTTATGGTGAGGGAGAGCTGAGATAACTGCATTTCTCATAAGATCTCAGGTGATGCTGATGCTGCTGGTCCATGGACCACACTTTTAGTGTTGCTGCACTAGGCTAGTTTCTAACAGGAAAGCTTTCCTTGTGAGTTAAAAGGCGGGGGTATAAAAACTATTACCATTGTCTACAAAGTTTAGATTGTTGTTGTTTTTTGGTTCTTTGCATAGGAGAAGCATTCTTTTAACTCACAAGTTCCACTTCCTTAAATTTGCTTTCTTTAAAAGTTCTCCTAGTAATCCAGGCATGGTGGCAGCACATGCTTGTAATCCCAGGACTCAGGAGGCTGAAGCAGGAGGATCTCAAGTTCAAGGCCAGCCTGGGCAACTAAGTGAGATCCTGTCTCAAAATATTTAAAAAATTTAAAACAAACTGGGGATGTAGCTCAGTGGTAATGTACCCCTTTCTTCAATCCCCAGTACCGCAAAAAATAAAAAATTTACTTCTAGTATCATTAGGACTATTTGCCCTCCCCCAATGTTTTAAGATTAGAAAATAAATAATTATTATTCATAGCAATTTCTATTATAGCAAAATACATTAGTAGCAAATAACTTTTTAATTGTTTTTACTCTTAATAATTGAAAGAATTAATTTGATGCTGTTTGCATTTTTAACTCTTTGAGTATTTTTTTTATAGTGGTGAAGTACTGAACATCTTAAGAATGTTCTCAGGGAAATATGTCATTAGAAAATATACTACAGGTAAAATGGAATGTAAGATAAAAATATTGAATTAAACAGAAATGACTGTCTTAGTCCATTTGGGCCAAATACTATAGACTGGGTGGCTTTTTTAAACAACAGAAATTTATTTCTCATAGTTCTGGAGGCTGGGAAGCCCACAATCAAGGTGCCAGCAGATAACAGGTTTCTGGTGAGGGCCCATTCCTGATAGCATTTTGTTACTGCATCATCACCTGGTGAAAGGGGCAAGCCAGAGTCTTTCTAAGGTCTCTCTTACAAGGGCATTAGTCTCATTCATAAGAATTCTGCTCTCCACTCAAAGGCTCTACCTCCTAATAGCATCACAATGGGGGTTAGGTTTTAACATATGAATTTGGGGGGAGGGACAATAATTCAGATCATAGCAGTGATCAACAGAATCTTATCATTTAATAATGATCTTTTATTCAAAATTGAAAAATTAAGAAAAGAATTGAAATGTGGTCATGTAATTAATATAACTTTTTATATAATAAAAGTTTTTAAAAATCTTGTTTGTGTTTTATCTCTCCAGTTCTCATAGCAACCACCCAAGTAAACGGTTTTATATTTTCAAGAAGCATTCAGGAATTCTCAGGTAACTGGTTGATCTTTTTCCATTCTTTTACTGAAAAATTATAGTAACTTTTAAAAACGTAATAGTTGGGTACCTGATTTGAAACTCTCAGTGATTGTTACTGGACATGATACAATTCTGTTCACTATATTCTTTGATCATAGTGAGGGATGGCCTGTCATCTCTGACTGAACTTTGGTTCAATGGTGCCAGGCATTGAGATCAAATCTTCATGCATTTGCATTGTAAAACAAAAAATAAGGCTAATAATATTTGAATAGAAATGAGTTCATTAAAACATTGTAATAGTTAAAATTAATATATAGCTTTCAAATTCTTAGTTTTTCTTTATGAAATAAAAGTACATAGCTTGCTTACTGTACAGAAAGAATTACTGATTAATATTTCTAAATGATAATTAACTTTAGTTATATCGCAAATACTTAGAAGCTGCTAAGCATTGTGGGTTTTTCAGTTTTCTAATTCCTTTTCCATCCATCTTTCCTTGTTTGTTTTGCTCATATTGAATAGTGCGTGGCATGTAATAGGCATTCAGAAAATATTTGTTAAAGAAGTTAATGTACATATTAAAAACAACGTGGATGATGTTGAACCAACAACTCATAAATAGAGGGAAATTTGATTCAATTTTTAAAACATAGTCATGCTATTTTAAATCATTACTCAATTCAGTGACTTGGGGGAAAAAAGTAAAATAAGTGTTACCTTTACTGAATATTTTTAAAGAATGAAAATAGGTTTAATGTTGAAGATGAGATTTTAATTTGATTTTCACTTTGTTGACAAGCTCACTTGTGTGCTTGGTTTCTAAATTAACTGTATGATTTTAAAGATCTAAGATGCTTTTTTCCTAACTTGGGTGGTTCTCAATTTTAAAAAGAAAATTGGTCATTTTTTTATATATGGTACTTAGTATGTTTATAGTTCTATAGAATAATATTTTTGTAATTACTATTTTATTAAAATGAATTCTTTATTTTTTAATTATTTGTTGTACATCCGCCACATATACAACAGAATATATCAGATCCTATACAAATTATAGTGATAAAGAAGGCAGCCAGCTTGGTACCTCTCTTCAAGGAATGTACAATTTATTGGAGGGATATAAATGTATGAACAAAAATAACTACAATAATACAAGGAGGTTTGTAATAAGTACAATCAAAGCAACTGATTTCAAAGGAGAGAGATGTTTTCTACTTCTAAGAGGCACAGGGGCATTCTAGTTGGAAGAAATATCATGAATAAAAGTTTGCATAATGGGAAACAGAAAGCATACAGTACACATTCAGACATTCACAGTGGATAACTTGTAGTGTATTTTGGGAAAAACACAAAGTTTATATAATGTGGTATTAAAATCAATGTCTGCAGGAATATTTTTTTATTTTATTTATCTTTATTTTTATTTATTTATTTTTATGTGGTGCTGAAGATCAAACTCAGTGCCTCACACGTGCCAGGCAAGTGCTCTGCCACTGAGCCACAGCTTCAGCCCATGGGAGAATGGTTTTGAGCTTAGATCCAGAGTTTAGAATTGTTTAAAACGATTCCAAGTCACTTATACTTAATTTTAATTTGGAGAACATTGGGGAAACCACTATTGTTTTGAGTAGAATCAAGGGTTCCAAAGGAAGACTGTGATTGGGTATATAAGGTAAGTTGTAGTTGCATGAGGCATAGACTGATAAAGGTTATTGTGGTAGTTAAAACTGATTTAATGATGACCTAGGTAGTGAAGTGTTATCACATCATATTTAATATCATGAGCTCTGGAATCAAAGGGTTCAGTTTCAAATCTCATGCTGGCCTTGGTAGTTAAGTAAACTTGATCCTGTCCTCTATAGAAAAGTGCTAATGACAGCGCCTGCTTCTCTGGGTTGTTAGAAGATATAAATCAGCTGATATATCTAAAACCCTCAACCTGCCCAATAAATTGTTACTGTTCTAGGTGTTTGAAATATTGAATGTTTTAAGGAAAAGATAACTACTGGTTTGTATCAGTGTCAGGGAAGTGGCACCATAAGAGAGAACAAACAGGAAGGATGATTTGGGGGAGGAAAGCACACAATTTCAATTTTACAAAGATAATATGTGATTCATCTGAGTAAGAGCTAGGTATAAAAACAGACTATTAAGACTAGAACTTCAGGGGAGAATGAATCTAAGGGATGTTACTGGGTTTTTTTTTTTCACAATATCTTTATTTTTTTTATTTTTACGTGGTGCTGAGAATCGAACCCAGTGCCTCACACATGCTAGGTGAGCGTGCTACCATTTGAGCCACATCCGCAGCTCTGTTACCATTTTTTTAAATTTATTTATTTTTATGTGGTTCTGAGAATCGAACCCAGTGCCTCACATGTACTAGGCTAGCACTCTAGCACTCAGCCACAACCCCAACCCATATGTTACTGTTTTTTATTCCTATACAGGAAGGATATTCCAATTCAAAGTATCTGATGAACTTGAAAAATATATTTATGCTTTGTTAATAAACTGATAATAATTACATTAAGGAATTTATTTTTAAATCCTCACATTTTCTTTTTTAAATATTTTTAGTTGCCAATGGATGTTTATTTTACTTATTTACACATGGTGCTGAAAATTGAACCCAGTGCCTCACATATTCCAGGCAAGCAGTCTACCACTGAGCTACAATCCTAGCCCATCTCACATTTCCTTTCTAATTTTGTCTTAAATTAGACACAAGATTATAGGCTGCATAGACTGTACCCTATTTCTTCACTAATTGTGTCTGTGATACCTAGTAGTACAATGTGCAAAGGAAGTCCTCGGCAAATGTATATTTCATATTACAGAATTTGAAAATGATAATCTTGGTACATAAAATAAAAAGTTATATTATGTGGAGCAGTAATCATTGAACTTGTGTATTGATTTCTATACAAGATAAGAGTCTCTCTTACCATCTAATTCTTTTTTCCGTAGGGGCATTACTCTTGTGTGCCTTAAGTGTGATTTCCTAACTGATTCTTCTGGCTTAGACCGTATGGCTAAACACTTAAGTCAACGTAAAACTCATACTTGCCAAGTTGTAATAGAGAATGGTATGTATATATAATAGTGTTACTTTGAATTTTAGATATTTAATCTAGTACTTTTGATCAGCCACAGTATGGACTTTCAGGTATTACAAATTAATTTATTCTTCATATATGCTGTTTTAAATGTAAAACTCTTCTTCTGGTTACAGTTTCCGAAAGTACCTCAACTTCTGAACCCACTTCTGAGTAAGTTTAATTTTAATTCAGTGCATTTTACTTTGATGGATTTTAGCACTGTTGCAATTTTAAAATGTATAATTAATAGAAATGAAAAATATTAAAGTATTTTGTTTTTGTTTTTGTTTTTAAAGCGGCTTGTTGAAATAGATTCCTGCTCTATGGAGCTCGTGCAACCTGGTGCAAGACAAGTTGGGATTTCCTAAGTTCAAAGTTCTGAAGTGTTTTCTTACACAAAGGCAGTTTCCTAAGTTCAAAGTTCTGAAGTGTTTTCTCACATGAAGGTGGTTAAACAAAGTTCATGACATTCAGCTCTTTTCAGCTTTCAGATGGCACTAGATTCTTATTCCACCTTATCTTTGTGTCAGGTTAACATGTCTTAACGTGTTTTTTTTCCTCTAGTTGACTTTCTCCAAAAATAACTTTTGTTGCTATGATCTTTTCTTGCTTTGCTTAAAATAATTTGTGTTTTTTTCTCCTGTACTTGCCTTCTGAATATTACATTCCAAATGACATGGCTGTTCATCTTTTTTGTCTGTTTTGTCTGCTTTCTTAATTTCTTATAAGTCTTACATTTTTAGGTCAGATAGATGTTTTTTCCCTCATTCTTTGTCTGTCATTGTTCTATTTTTTTTCCTATTTTTCAGATGCAGAAGCAACACAGAAATTTCAAAAAATGTCCAGTGTACTCCTGGACAGTGTCCCCCTTCGATGGACACAACTGATGCCTGTTCTGTCTTTCCAAGGAATGTGAATTATTTGACTGTGAGACTTCTTCTAGTTTGTGGCCTTAAGGAATCAGATCTTGGGGAGAGTCCCTTCCTACCTGACTGGCCTCCCATAATGCTGATGCTGATTTGGCCAGAGATGACCTCAAGGCCCACCAAATTGAGCACAACTCCCCACTGGGGGCTTTCGTTCTTGATCTTAAGCTTATGGGTTGATACTAACCAAGAAAAGCCCATCAATGTGCTTCAACATCCAAGTTGAAGTCGAATCATTTTGGCTGCTGCCCTTTAATCTTCCTATAGCATGCATGCAGTCTAAAGAAAATGAAATTTCTGTTGTGTAGAGAACCAAGATTACTTTTATGTTTTTGGAAAAGAGAACTTTAAATTTACAGTTCCAAAGTAACAACTATTCACATTGTCATTTAAAGTTTTATCCAGTATTAATCCTAGGAGTTTTCAGCAATACTAATATTTAGATTTTTTAATTTAAATTTTTTTCATTAAATTTTAGTAGCTTGATGTTATGTTGTTCTTCATCAAGTTTATTGATGTCCGTTTTGTTATGTCTATTTTTGTACTCTTCTCTTTAAAGCTTTTGTTTTGTGTTTGTTTTGTTTTTGTTAAGAACTCCAATAATTTTCTTTATAATTCTCCACAGATTTCATGTGGCTACCTACTGGTAGCTTCTTAATTTTGATACTTGTTCAGCTCATTAGACATTATTACATGCTCTATCTTGGGACTTTCATTAACATCTTAGGGATTGTGAGTTCAAAGACATAAAGAATTGGCAAAAACTCCTCTTTCAGACCTTAAAACAAATTTTAAAGTTACATTTCTGATTATCTAATACATAATATCTTCTTAGCCATTAATGTAATTCCTTTGGATAAAGATAATATATTCAAAAATATTGGGACCAAAAAATGCACTTGTTTCTTGCCCATATATATATATAGATGTATATTTTTTTTAATTTGGTGTTTGTTTATTTTGGTTACATTGAATATAGATTTGCTGAACAGTTTTGATGTTACTTATTTTTTTAATAAAATTTGTATTGTTAAAGGGCCTTGAGAATTGTTTTCTAATAAATAACTTCATATAAAACTGTAGATTGTATCATATAAGTAACTAGAAAGATTGCTTTGATTCTCACATGAAAGCCTGATTGCTTGGCCTACAGATCAAGAACATTATCTATTGAATGCATCTTGCACTTTTTCTCCCAGCATATTTAGAAGCTCACTGTTTATATTTTATTAAGTAATTTCTTGAACATTTTTCCTGCATTATTGGGAATTAAACTCAAAGGCACTCTGCCACTGAGCCACATCCCCAGCCCTTTTTATTTTTTACAATGAGACTGGGTCTTGCTGAGTTGTCAAGGCTGGCCTTGAACTTGTTATCTTTCTGCCTTAACCTCCCAAGTATCTGGGATTACTGGGGTGCACTACTACACCAGGCTTCTTTCTTGAACTTTAAAACCTAGCAAAAGCCCGCTTTGTGATCTTATTAAACATAAAGGTGGACAAGCTCTGAAGTCATTTGACTCAATCATGAGTGTTTTTTTCCTTAAACTCCAAAATCAAAACTTCATGAATGTATTTTGAAACTATGAATCATTTTCCAAAATTTTTAGAAGTGGTTTGTTTCATAGTAGTGAACTTCATGATACTCTGGTCTTTTATTTTCATACCTATCTCTAGGATATTTTGTCAATTTCCGCTTTTCTACTCAATTTTTTAAAACCTTTAAATTGTGATAAAATATATGTAATATAAAGTTTGCCACTTTAATGATTCATAAGTATACAAGTTTAGTGGAATTAATGATGCTCATTTTTAAAAAATTTTAAACGTTCACCCAGAAATAATTTATTTGCATTTTAAAGATAGGTTCTCTTTTTATTTATGTGTAGGTTCTCTGCCAACAGTTCAGAAACATGAAACACCACATGCTATAAGCAGTACATTAGGTACAGGGATACAGCTTTATGTTCTTCCATAGAATTCTATTTCTTATATATCAGGGTATTTTCTTAAAAATATAATACTGTTAATAAAGATTCAAAATACACATATAATACTCTTAAAGTTCTGTGCCATGTAACAGCATTTTAATGTTTAAAACATTTCAATCAATATTAACCTTACTTATTATAGGCAGTTACAATTGTGTTTTAATTGGTACTAATGAATTTTATCTTGTCACCCTGATCCCTCTTTTTTAAAAAATATTTTTATTAGTTGTTGATGAATTTTTAAATTTTATTTATTTATTGATATGTGGTCTGAAAATAGAACCCAGTGCCTCACACATGCTAGGCAAGTGCTCTAACACTGAGCTACAACCCCAGCCTCTGATCCCTCTTTATCTTCAGGCTATCCTAAATAGATTTTTCATCTTGATTCAGAAATACCCATCTCTTGCATACCTGCCTACTGGCTTTTTGTTTTAGCTGACTAAAAGTTATATGTCAGTTTCAATTCATCACCATTGTTAGAAAAGTAACCACTTATACACAGATTTAGATTCTTGCCCTTTGTGACACATTGACAAAACAACTTCTTCAGTCTTTGTTTGTTCATCAAATAATTATCTACTATATACCTACCACTGTTCTAGGTGTTGGAAATACAGGATGAAATCATCTCTCATGGGGCTTACATTTTAGTGGTGGGGAGAAATACAATAGAATGTAAATAATGTGCAAATATATGGCATCAAGTCCTACTATTAATGTATAATTATAGTGTATCAATAAAAATTTTAAAAATAGAAAACATCCTTCATAACTAAAAAAGAAAACTTTATAGTATTCTGAATGGTGATCTATAGAGAAAAATTAAGTAGGGAACAATAGTGTGTGTGTGTGTGTGTATATATATATATATATATATATATATATATATATATATAGGTTGAGGGTTGGGTGAGTGGTTGCCATTAAGGCAGACCTTGAGAAGACAACATTTGAGTAAATTTGAAGGAAATGAGGAAGTGGTATCAGAAGTACTGCCTAGAAAAATGGAACAAGAACAAAATCCCTGAAGTGGAAATTGGAAACCTCATATACTACTGGTACAAATGTAAAATGGTTCTGCCACTATAGAAAATAGTTTAGCAGTTACTCAAAAAATTAAGCATAGAATTACCATGGGAGGGGCTGGGGTTGTGGCTCAGTGGTAGAGCGCTCGTCTAGCATGTGCAGGGCCCTGGGTTCAATCCTCATCATATAAAAATAAATAAATAAAATAAAGTATTTTTTAATATTTATTTTTTAGTTTTCGGTGGACACAACATCTTTATTTTTTTATTTTTATGTGGTGCTGAGGATCAAACCCAGCACCCCGTGCATGCCAGGCAAGCGCACTACCACTTGAGCCACATCCCTAGCCCAAATAAAGGTATTTTTTTTAAAAAAAGAATTACCATGGGACCCAGCAGTTCCATTCCTGGGTATATATCCAGAATAATTCAGCCAAGTCTGGTGGCACACACCTATAATCCCAGTGACTCTGGAGGCTGAGGCAGGTGGATCACCAAAGTCAAGGGCAGCCTCAGCAATTTAGTGAGACTTGTTAAAAAAAAAAAAAATTAAAGAAGAGACTAACATACCAGCACATGTGTGTTTATAGCACCACTGTTCACAATGGCCAGAAGATAGAAACAGTCCAAATATCATCAACAAATAAAGGGATAAATTGTGGAATATCAAATAGAATATTATTAAGCATAAAAAGGAATGAAGTACTGTTATATCCTGCAACATGTGTGACCCTTTTAAACATGTTAAGTGAAAGAAAGTCACTAACAGTCACGTTTTATGATACAACTTATGTGAAATATCTAGAATCCGCATATTCATACTAACAAAGGCAGATTGGTTGTTTCCAGAGCTGGAGGAGCAGGGTATGGAGAGCAGTTGCCTAATGGGTGTGGGACTTTATCTGGGGATGATGAAAATGTTTTAGAACTAAATAGAGATGGTTGCATGATAGTGTGAATGTACTGCCGCTAAATCGTTCACTTTAAAATGGCTAATTTTATGATATATGAATCTAACATCACTGTTTAAATTAAACTGGGAATATAAAGGAAGCCTCCTTAACCTAACCTAATAAAAATCTACAGCTAACATGATTATGATGGGAGAAAGGGCTGGGGAGAAGGCCCTGAAGCAGGATCGTGCCTGGTTAAAAAACACAAGATTGATGGCACTGCAGAAGATCTGTAGACTAAGCGGTGGCAGATAGGACATGGCTTGGGAGATCATGTGGACCACGTAGAATAGAGCCTTATAGGGAGTTTAAAGGAGTTAGCTTTTATTCTGTGTTGGGAAGCCATTAGTAGATATTTTAAATTTTTTATTAGTTATTGATGGACATTTATATATTTGTTTATATGTCGTGCTGAGAATCGAACCCAGTGCTTTACACATGCTAGGCAAGCACTTTACCACTGAGCCACAACACCAGCCCCTATTAGTAGATTTTGAATGGGGTAATATAAATTATACCTTGATAAACAATGAAAATGAAAGTCCTCTTGAGGGGCTGAAGCAGGAGGATCCCAAGTTCAAAGTCAGTCTGGGCAACTTGGACCCTGTCTCAAAAAAATTAAAAGGGCTGGAGGTGTAACTCAGAGCTGGATGTTTTCCTGGTAATCAAAAGGCAGGATCAGATAGAGAAGTTAAGAATGTTCCTCAAATTTCTTGTTATTTTGAGAACAAGCCTGCCATACTTTCAAACAAGGAATGACGATGAATAGGTAAAATAATCATTTTAGCAAGGTATGGCAGTACACCCCTGTCATTCCAACTAGTCTGGAGACTCAGGCAGGAAAAATCACAAGTCTGAGGACTGAGGACAACCTGGCAAATTTAGTGAGACCCTGTCTCAAAATTTAAGAAGAGTTGTAGAAGAGCATTTGTCAAGCATGAGCAAGATGGTTCAATCCTTTGGACCTCAAAAGAAAGTTTCTCAAGTACAGTCTTAATAGGATCCCCCCAGCTGCTGTCTTGAGAACAAGCTGTTTGCAATCCAAGGGCATAATCAGGGTTATAATAATCCAGATGGTAGATGATGGGGGCTTAGACTAGGATGGAAAGAGCACAGGGGATAAGTGACTCAATTTGGGGTATATATTGAAGGTTAGGCCAACAGAATTTGTTGATGATTTCAGTGTAAAATGTGAAAAAAAATGTGTGGGACAGCATGGTCATTAGCCTGGGCAACTGGTGTTGATATTAATTTACACATAGAAGACTTTAAAAGAGCAGATTAGGGAGAGAAGATTAGGACTTTGGTTTGGGACATGTTTAAGTTTGAGATACCTATTATGTATCCAAGTGGGGAATGTCATAAACATTCGGATATATGAGTTTAGAGCTTAAGGGAGAGGTCCAAGCTGTCAATAATATTGAATTTATTTTTAAAAACTACAAGACCACCAAGGGATAGAGAAAATAAAGTCTGCAGACTGAGTTCTGGAGCATTAAGACAATAAGAGTTTAGGAAGATGAAAGGAAATCAACAAATAGAAACTAAGTGGTCAGTTATGTGAGAGGAACACCAGAAAAGTGATTTTATCTGGAAAACTCTAAGTACTCTGTTTGTAAAACATGGATGCTAACTTGTTCTAGAGTTTTGGGATTCTGTGATTCTATTTTGGTCAGACCTACACATCACTTATAATTTGTTAGGAGAAAATGAATTCTGAATGGTAATCATTTGACATATGTCAAAATATCACATTGTACATGTTAAACTTACAATTTTATTTGTTAAGTATACCTCAATAAAGTTGGAGGAAAGAAAGAATGCCAAATGCTACTGTTTCCAACAACAGAAACAAGGACTTAACACTGAGAAATGAATTGTCCCAATTACTCCCAAGCACAGTTAACTCTCATAAAAGGAACACTTTGATTTCTGTAAAAGAAGGTACCTAGGTCTAGAAATAATGTCCATACTTTGTAAATAGTGTGCATAGCTCAATGGTAGAGTGAGTATTTAGCATGTGCAAGTCTCTAGATTCAGTTTCAAGCACACACACATATCCACTTAC